GCTCATTGTAGGCTCTTCAGCCTCAAAAATAAATAATTTGAAAAAAAGAGTTGAGCAAGTATTTTGCAATGAAGGATTTGGGGCCAGCTAGAAGTATTCTTGGGATGTATATTTCTTGGAATAGGGAAGAGAAAAAGTTATGGTTATCCCAAGAAAAATATATCGAAAAAGTGTTGCAGCGGTTCAACATGGACAAGGCCAAAGCTACTTCTACATCGCTTGCTGCTTCGTTTAAATTGAGTGAGAAGCAGTATCCTTCTACTGAGAAAGAAAATGAAGATATGCAGCGGATTCCTTATGCCTCAGCAGTTGGAAGTTTGATGTACTCCATGGTGTGTACTCGGTCAGACATAGCTCACGCAGTTGGTGTTGTTAGCCGATTCATATCGAATCCTGGCAAAGAGCATTGGAGTACAGTGAAGTGGATTCTAAAATATCTTCGGGGAACTTCGAATATGAAGTTGTGCTTTGGTACTGATAAGTCGGAGCTTTTTGCTTATACAGATTCTGATATGGCCGGAGATAGTGATAATAGGAAGTCTACTTCTGGATACTTGATAACTAATGCAGGGGGAGCTATTTCATGGCAATCCCGATTGCATAAATGTGTTGCACTCTCTTCCACCGAGGTGGAGTTTATTGCTGCTACCGAAGCTTGCAAGGAGTTATTATGGTTGAAGACTTTTGTGAGTGAAATTGGTTTCACTCAACAAAAGTATATTTTGTATTGCGACAATCAAAGTACAATTCATCTTAGCAAGAATCCAACATTTCATGGGAGATCGAAACATATTGATACAAGGTATCATTGGATTCGAGAAGTTTTGGATTCTAAGTTGATTGAAGTTGATAAGATCCACACGGATGAAAATGGTGCGGATATGTGCAGTAAAAGCCTTTCAAGAGACAAGTTCGAATTCTGCAGGATGGCTGCAAGGTTGGTTGCCTCCTTCACATAGTCGGAAGGGGGAAAATTACTGGGTTTGGGTTCCTTCTATGTGTGGAGGCCCAACAATTCAAGTTAGTCCAAAAAAAAAAAAAATTGAGAGTCCACTTTTTTGCCAATTGTTGCCCTAGCCGTCTTAGTTGGGAGAGGGGTCAATTGGGTGTAGAGATTGAGAGATACAATCGTTATCCACGCACGTGAGAGAATCAACAAGCAAGAGAGAATTTCTTCAACTCGGTTCCGATCAACGGTCTCGTCATCTTCGGATGTTCCTTTTGGTATCGTTGATTTCTTCTTATTTGTTTGGATTCGATTTTGAATCTTATTGGTTGATGATTGGAATGGGTTGTTAGCAATTGGGAGATCTCTTGTGATTGAGGTCCAATTCTTTGATAGCCCTTTTGGTTGTGGTTATCTTTGATTGTACGAACCTTTGTTGAGATAGTGGATTTTGCCTTGGGTTGGGTGATAGGCCTTGTGGTTTTTATCCTTCACTTCGAAAAAGTTTTCCACGTTAAAAGTTTGGGAGTCTCATATCGTTATTTCAGTTGTTTATTGGTGGTTATTATTCATCTTCTTTTTGGTAGAAAAATAATTGATTGAAGGCAAAATTTTTGGTGGAACAATTTGAACACACTGCTTAGGCGTGACCACGCCTAAGGAGTACATCGAATCTATTTTTGATTTGCATTTTTGGCCTTCTTCGGGTATTCTCCCAACATCGATGCAGGTAGTTCCGACGAAGCTTGGTTTTCCCTCTCCCCCACCTTCACTGCATTTTCTGCATCTGCGACAACCAGATAGATTTTGCTTCGAAAACCACCAGCTTGGATCCAACATTTTGTTGGGATCTTACCTCGTTGTTCAATAAGAATAAGGATTCTAGCAGAGTCGAAACGATGCCCCTCTCTGGTTTCTTCGTCGCAACCCACCAGCTCGCCCCATTAAGAGGCAATCCTACGCCAAGAATCCTCTCCCCATACCTGGATCGGCAATCCCCTAGTCAATAACCACACTAACCTCAAAGAGGTTTTCATGCTAGGTTTCCAAGTCAATTTCCATAAAGCTAGCTCTTGAAGCGCAGACATAGGAGCATCTAGAAAAATATTGCGCTCTTCGATCGAGTCAAACTCTGCGATCATTAGACGGCCACCCATATATGAGAACTTGTTGCAAGATGGGAATTGATCAAACACTATATGCACAAGAACATCCAACTTCAATAAATCTCTAATTGCCACCACCGCAGCGTTACCGAGTGTCTCCTGCATTTCCTTATTCAAATTCAGATCTAAGCACTTATGTTCGACTTCTGCCGAACTCACATTGTTCAGCTTTTGGAGACCAGCATCATCAAAACCCTTTCCATAGACAACTTCAACAAAGCTACGTCCGGCCCTAAAATTGGTGGATCTAATATTCTTTACCCCTACAGACAGATTTGAGAAATTGGTCTTCTTCTCCGGAGCAACCCTCAAATTTCTACCATGCCACCTCCAACCATCGAACCTCTGCACGATTTTGACCGCATCCCCGCGACATTTTAAGCGAATAAAACTGAATTTCGGCCTCACACGCTCGGGTATGTGTTTTGGAGAAAACCAATCAATAACTAGAGCTACAATATTGACCGTCGACACTAGCATCTTGAAATCCGAATCTATCACAATATTACCTATGAAGACAGAATAGAGAGACCTCCGCAAAAGCCCTAATTTCCTCTGGACTGCTCCGGCACACCTGCTCCCCTGAGATCTGACGCAAGCCCGCACTTGGTCTTCTTCCACGACGCCTCATTGTTCCTCTGTACTTTATATGGTTGGTTTTAAAGTAAAATAGTATTCATTTTTAATTATTATATTAATACATATCAATTTTAATAGAAACATATAATATTCATTTATAAAATATTTAAAAATAAATAAATAAATATTTTAAAAATATTTTTCCCGTTATTATTAACTAGCAACAACAATTCCGGAAAATTCTACATATGAATTTATTTGTTTACTGTATATAATTGTATATATTTTGATTGTAATATATTGATAATTATAAAAGTATTATAAAAATAATATTTCATCTTGTTAGGTATTGTTTTTTAATCAAAATTTTTAAATTTTACTATTTGAAATTTTGAGTTTTTAAAAAAAAAAAATTTTTTTTTCTCTCACAAAGTATTATATCAAACATTAATTTTAATATCAATCTCAAATCAAAATTTATCAAACTCAACCAAAAGAAACCGCACCCTCAATTTTATTATTGTATATATATATTACAATATATTGTATATTGTATATTATATTTTTCATATAATTTATTTGGAGAATTATATCATCTTAAACACTGACTGATATTAATACACAATAAAAGAACGAAATCAAACTTATTTTTTTGGTGTAACTAAAAACATTAATATATAACTTTTTGCTGTAAATCGAGAGTTTGTTTTGTTTGAGTTTTAAATAAATTTTTTATTATTTCTTCTATACATTTTTAAATAAAAATATATTATTTTTATTATTTTGATTTACACAATTTTCTTTTCAGATTGTTATATATAGAAAAAAAAAAAAAAATGTCTTTGTTCTCTTTGCAAAAGATAATCTATTTTTTATTAAATAAAATTAAATATAATAATTATTTATTTTTAATGAATATGTGTCCAAATATTTAAATTTATATTTAAATAATAAAAAGATATTAATTTTATTTTAAACTAATAAATTAAAATAATATTCAAACTAAAATAAAATGATGAATCAATATCAAACTTTATAATGAAAAATAATTACTATATTTTATATAAAAACCCAGGACATGTAAGGTAAAAAGTTTAGAAAATAAGTAAAAAGGTTTTATTTTACTTTAATTGGAGTTTGATATAATATTTATAAATTAAAATATAATATTTGCTTCGTCTACTAAAAATAATTGTTACATTGTCAAGTGAACAGGGAAAGTGTATTATTATTATAATATATATAATCAAATAATATTTGTTTTATTCGAAATAATTATATAGTTTTTTATTTTAATTTTTCGTTAAATTAATACATAATTTATATATGCTGAATAATTTTATTTATTTATAATTTTACTATTTTATTTAAATAAATAATAATTAATTTTTTCTATTTTTTATTTACATTAATATTCTACAATTAATTTTTAATATATTTTAATAAATTTTAATTATTTATTTTTTATTTACTTTAGTTTTATATTAAAATATTATTATTTTTGTTATTTTTATACTAAATATTACGGGATAATTAGTCGAACAAAAACAATAAATAATTTTAATTTATAATTAAAATGAAACTAATCCAAAATAAAGACAGAAAGCCACGTATATAATGATTTCAACACATTTAGGATGTGTTTGTTTGAAGATTTGGATTTGGAGTAGGGATTTGAATAGTAAAAATTTTAAATTTGAATAGTTGTACGATGTGATATAAATAGGTGTTGATGTGATATTTTGAATGTAAAATTAATTTTTAGTATAATATAAAAAATAAAAATAAATATTTGATTTGATGTTTTTAAGGAAAAAAAAAATGAAGGGTGTGTTTGTTTGGGGGTTTGGATTTTGAGTTGAGATTTGAATAGTAAAAATTTTGAATTTGAATAGTTGTACGATGTGATATAAATAGGTGTTAATGTGATGTTTTGAATGTAAAATTAATTTTTAGTATAATATTAAAAATAAAAAATAGGTATTTGATTTGATATTTTTTAAAAGAAAATTTTGGATGAATAATAAAATTTTGATAAAATTCTTCAAACGAATAAACCCAAAATAAATATTGTATTTAAAATCCAATTCCACTGACAAAAGCACCCTTTGGATGAAACAACAATAAAATAAAATAAAATAATAATACAGCAATGAAACATCCATCGTCCTATAAAAATAAACCTAATGCACCGATTAAATAAATAAATAAACCTAATACTCGTACAAACCAAAAATTATCGATCATTATTCCAACACGTGGAACTAAAATGGGCCCCACTTTAGTCCTCGTGGCGTCCTTACAAACGTTTTCCTTTTACCCACATTCTCGCTTTTCTTTCACCTCAAGAAAGAGATACTCTCACCACCACCGCCATCGGAAAATTAACGTTAATCTCACTCGAAATTCTCACCAATTTACTAGGTAATTACAATCTCTGCAATAACTTGATTGATTGATCCTTTAGCGTTATAACAAGTGATTTTCAATCTATTATTGCCTCACGGTTTTCGGTGCAGTTTAAGCAGCAGAAGAAGATGTTGAGGTTTTTAAGGAGGCAAGATGCCGCTCTTGCACAGGTAGCTTTAATTTTCATTTCAAAGTTAAATTTAGATCTGTTGTAATTGTTCCAGCGATTGAATTGACGTTAATTTTTCCTAGTTTTTGAGGTCTACTGTATTACCATCTAGAAATTACTCTGCAGCTTCAGTTAACCAGGTAACGCTCAAATCTCAATTTCCTCGAATGAGCAGTAACCTCGTTTCCTAGAATTCCTAGAATTGTCGTAGAAACTGAAATCGATTATTACAGATGACGGTAAGAGATGCGTTGAATTCGGCGTTGGACGAGGAAATGTCCGCCGATCGTAGCGTCTTCCTGTTGGGGGAAGAGGTGATAAAAATTAGGGCTAAATTAGGACAGGATCTGATTGATGTTCTTTTACTTTCTGTCATAGAATTGTTCTTCTTAATTTAAACATTCTGATTATCAGATCGGTGAGTATCAAGGTGCTTATAAGGTCACCAAGGGACTCTTACAGAAGTACGGTCCGGACAGAGTGGTCGATACCCCTATAACAGAGGTTTAATTTAGTTCTTACATTACCTGCTGATGACTGCTGTCATAATTTCTAAGGAAATCTTGCATTGTATTGATCATTAGTTGTTTCTTGTTGTTATGTAGGCCGGCTTCACTGGACTCGGCGCCGGCGCCGCGTACTATGGACTTAGACCCGTCGTCGAATTTATGACATTTAACTTCGCAATGCAGGTTAAATATCATCGGTTGCCGACCAGCCATACAAATTTCGAATTAGCTATATATGTTATCATTTTTTGTGGATGCAGGCAATTGATCAAATTATTAACTCGTCGGCTAAGACAAATTACATGTCCGCCGGCAACATAAGTGTGCCTATTGTTTTCCGAGGGCCGAATGGCGCGGCTGCCGGTGTAGCCGCCCAGCATTCGCAGGTACAACTGGAATTTGAATAGTTGTATAATGTGATATAAATAGGTGTTGATGTTAATATTTTTAGAAAAAAAATTATAAATAGTAGAAATCCGGAGAAATTCAAGCTTTTAGAAATTTATGAAAATAGTAAAAAAAAAAAAAAAAAAATTAAAAGTGACTGATGTAATCGTACACAGTTATTTGATGTGATATTATTTAAATTAACCTTCATGAAGAGTATCAAAGTTTTTAAGTGTTTTTACATAAATATAGAAGGCCCAGCTTACATAAGTAATTTTGAAAGTTTTGATATTATTTATTATCAGTAATTATTTCAATCATCATGAATATTTTTTCAATGAAAATTTGTGGACTCGAATAATCTTAAGTATTGTGTAGTGTTATGCTCCATGGTACGGTGCAGTCCCGGGATTAAAAGTGCTTTCCCCGTACTCATCCGAGGATGCACGCGGACTTCTCAAGGCCGCCATCCGGGACCCCGACCCTGTGGTATTCCTTGAAAACGAACTCTTGTGAGTGCATAGCTTTACAGAGATAATTAATCATTTTTCGTTTCATTATTCATCTATGTTTTTAGTCATTCGATCGGTTATTTTACAATGTAATGTTGCGTATGTATCTATCGATCAGGTATGGTGAATCTTTCCCGGTATCCGCGGAAGTTCTCGATTCGAGCTTCTCTGTCCCGATTGGGAAAGCTAAGGTAAGGTTGCGATAAACTCATACAACAGTTTGCCAATACGAGGTAATAATTCAAGTTTTTATGATCGGCAGATTGAGAGAGACGGAAAGGATGTGTCCATTGTGGCCTTCTCGAAAATGGTTGGCTTTTCTCTGCAGGTTCGACTCGGAACCCTAGTTTGGCTATGTATATATACTACAAGAAAATAATATTTTTGTAACAAAATCCTTAAATCCATTTTTTTTTCGTTATTAATGACATTATGGTTTATGTACGAAATTCATTAAATGTGTTATTTTTTTGTAGTGATAAATTGGATTGTCCAATTTGTGTTTATTTAATAGTCTAATAACTTGTCCAGGCCGCCGATATACTTGCAAAGGAAGGAATAGATGCCGAGGTATGTATTACAAAGCGCTGGACTTCTACTACTACCACATCGAAAAATTAAGGAATGGAATTTCGTATTTTTCAAATCTATCTTCCTCTTTGAGCAGGTTGTAAATTTACGGTCCATAAGGCCGATGGATAGATCCACAATCAACGCCTCGGTGAGAAAAACCAATAGGCTTGTGACGGTCGAAGAAGGGTATCCCCAACACGGTGTCGGCGCCGAGATCTGGTTGGCCTTAAATTTCAGGACACAACATATATAGGATTCTTACACATGTGCATTCACTAATCTTACCTTAAATATTAGTTAGGGATAGCAATTCGGGCTGGCCCGGTTTTTTCTTTTTCTGGGTCAGCCCAACCCGATTGCAAATTGGGCATGGAAAGGCTGGCCCGAGCACGACCCGGTTTGAAACCGGGCTGTGCCGTGGCAGCCCGCTTTCTTTTTTTAAAAAAAATATTTTATCTATTTTTTTAGCTTTTAATTAATTTAAAATAAAATATATTTTAATAGTGGAAATAGATAATTGAACCTTATTAGCGGTCATAATGTAATTTTTGTCTTTATTTTAAAAATTAATGTATATATATATAATTTTTAAAATTGGTCGGGCCAGGCACAATCTGACCTTCATGAGGGCCCGATTCATTAGCATGCCGGCCAGCCCCAAAATTTTCGGGCCTATTTTTGGAGGACCAAGCACGATTTTTATGTGTCGTGTTCAGACTGGGCTTTCGAGGCATGCTTATTTTTGCCGCCTCTAATATACATCCGACAAGTGCTCATCTTTTGGTGGTTTTTTTCGTTGTGTCATTACAGCGCATCCATCGCCGAGGATAGCTTCGACTATCTCGATTCTCCGGTTGAGCGAATAACCGGGGCGGATGTCCCAATGCCTTACGCGGCCAACCTCGAGCGAATGGCGCTCCCGCAGGTTAATTTTCGATTTCGCATTAGCTAGAGTCAAACTATAAAGTCATCCGTCTTATCGTTCCGGTGAATTGATTGATTCGGTGCATAATTCGATCTTCTTGCAATGAAACTCGGTGTAGGTTGAAGACATTGTCCGCGCCGCCAAGCGGGCATGCTACATGTCCGGTTAAGGTTTAATGTTTTCCGGAGCCGGCTTGCCCGGGCCGGGCTATCCCGGGGAGGCCCAATTGGGCAACTGATCGACACTTGGGATTGTTTAAAGGATTTGTGACATTTTTAGCAGATGAATAATTGATGAGGTTAAGGTTCAAAATTTCAAATGCAGTATGTCTCTGTGTGTGTATCTTTTTTGCTGGGAGAGTTCCGACAGTAGTAGCATTATTATTGGGTTTGACTTTGAAGCTAATAGTCAACTACTGGGTGTGTTTGTTTGGGGATTGAATTTTAAATACATTATTCATCCTATTTTTTTTCTTCAAAAACATTAAATCAAAATATTTATTTTTTATTTTTTATATTATACTAAAAATCAATTTTATATTTAAAACATAACATCAACATTTATTTATATCACATTATACAACTATTCAAATTCAAAATTTTTACTGTTCAACTCAAAATTCAATCCAAACACAATAGAGTGGTATTTTAGGCCTCTTGGATTTCTTAAACACAATAGAATGGTAATTTAGGCCTCTTGGATTTCTTATCTAACTTTTACTATATACGTAAATTATTCTTAAAATATATTAAATTATTTTTTTATATTACTTTATAAAATTAATTTTACATTAAAATATTATATTAATATATATTTATATCATAGTATTAAATAGTTTAATAAAAACATTCAAATTTAAAAATTAAATCTACAAACCGTAAAATAAAGGGGTTTATTTCCTTATTTTATATCAAATCTATATATTCATTTTATATTTTGTCATTTTTAAATATAAAGTATTCAGTTTTTTATAGTATATACGAAGTTATTATACATTACAAATATTCTTAACATTACACTTTTATAAATATATATATATGTATATCAACTTTTATATTAATTTTATATATCATAAAGATAAAAATAATAACAATAATGATAATAATAATTTTTAAATATCATAATTATTACATACTTTGTGGACGAAAAAAAAAAATATTATTTTATATAACATAACACGAAAATACTAAACTAAAATTCACATCATTACATCAATTTCATATCATATCAAAACCAAACAAATAGTTGTATATGTAGATTAATAGTAGGTGAAATTTATTATTTGTATGAGTTATACATATATTTATTACTAAATTATAAAATAAATTTATTGATTATAGATCTTCTAAGGGTAAATTATTTTTTTTAGTCCCGTGACTTGACCTCTTATCATTTTAGTTCCGTAAATGGAGTATATCGCAAACTAGTCCTATAAGTAAAAAAATTTCATTGTTTTAGTTCTCCGGCGCCGGAGACGCCCGCGTGGCTTCACTTATGGGACTAAAATGATAAGTAGGTGGACTAAATTAACGAAAAATTTTCACTTATAAAACTAGTTTGCAACAAGCTCCACTTACGAAACTAAAATGATAAGGGGTGGACTAAAAAACAGTTTACCGTATCTTTTAAATAGCAAAAGAATATATACTGTGGTGCGATGAAGTATATAATATATTATTATTGTTATTAAAGTATTAAATAGTATAACAATTATTATTATTATGAAAGTATTAAAGTATTAAATTATTGCATTTGACTGTAAATTTGATCAACTATTATGTTGTGAAAGATTCCCATTAAGTGTTGATTATGTTTTATTTTTTTAAATATATATATATATACATATATTTTTTCTGAAAAATTAATATATTACACATATTTACTATTTTTATATCACTCAAACTATTACACAAAACAAACACTTCTTTATTCCAATATAATGTTTTTTTAAAAAAATGTCTATCAATACCTTCTTTGTTCCAATTTAATATTTTTTTGTTATCATTTTGCATGTCTAGCTCAATAAATATTTTTTTTTATTATATTAAAAATAATTTTTATATAAATATAAAAATACTAGTATTAATTTTTACAAAAAAATTCATTTTCTTTTGTACTTGTAATGATAAAAAATATAAAAATTATTTTATATATTTGCATTATTCTATCCTAAAATAATAGTTTTGTTTCTAAAAATAATTATATCGCCTTAAAATTATTCATACTTTTTCATTATTATTATTATATAAATATCATATTTTTTTACACAAATATACTCATAAAGAGAGTTTAGCTTTTTACTATCTATTTTACGTTCACTTTCAATATAATATCGTTATTATTAAAATCTCGTGTCAAACTTCAATTATATTTATAATTGTTTAATTGTGTTTGTTTCTTATTTCAAATAAAAAAAAATTACTACTACTATTCGGCACGCATAACTTTTGAAAAAATACATTATTTTCTTTTACAAAAATATTACATCGAGATACTATTTAAATCAAAATTCAAATGAGACCCCAATTTCAAATCAAAAAACCAAACATACAATTAAGAAAATTTGCTGAATTATATGAAAATTTTATTGAATTAGATTTTGCATGTTGAACTAATTTGATTCAAACATCTAATTTAAATTGTGTATGTAATTAATACAGCATGATTGAATTATTATTGATCAACATGGGTACTTATTAAGATATTTCAATAAACTGAAGTTGGTGTTAGGAAATGGTTGTTTTTTTTATTATTATTATTCTGTAATTGTTGTATTAAAAATCCTATTATATTTTTCAATATATTAACAATATAATATAATAATTATTATTTTTATTGTCAAATTGTGTCTAATAATTAATTTAAGCACCGATTGAAAAGATAGTATTTTGGTTAGTCATTTTGTTTAATATGAAAATGTAGAAAATTGGTTAATGAAATTTAAATATATTTATAGATAATTTGTGTTAAATTAAACTTTAAATTTTTGAAATTTCAAAATTTTTTGGATAGTTATTAATTTGTTTTTTTTTTTTTTTGTTAAAGGTAATGGGTTTTTGACAAAGGTAATAAAATATAATAATTGTATTTCTTATTAAAGGTAATAAATTTTGTTATAGTAAAAACTGAAAAAGCAACGATAAATGTAATGAAAGAAATGACTGAAACGGATGCTCTTAAGAGTAAAAAAGTATTTGAACATTTGTGGTCAGAAAATCGTGAGGCTATATGAATGTAGTTAACTCAAATCCAAAATGATTAATGTGGGACTATTACACGGTTTTATTTGATTAAGAAGACAACGATGGCCTCGCGCCTTGTAGGAAAAAAAAAAGTGAAAACAAAACATCTAAATGTTACTATGCGATGATATGGTATCTAATGATGTTTGTTCACATAGATTTTAATGGCCTATTTGCCTGAGGAGTGTAATCTTCGTGGATGTAATAGTTACTTGCATATTGTTCTCGTTCCGAGCCTGAAATGTAACTATTTTGCAATTTTTATCACATTGCAATACTGATCTGTCGATTTATACACAGGTGGCTTGAAGAGGATCCCAAGAGCACAAGTGCACTGATGAATTGTTAGATAAATAATCCGGATTGAATGAAAATACAATAAAAATCGAATTTCGCAGGGTATAAACGATATTGGATATACTTTGAATCACGTAGATTCTCTTTCCTTATACGATATTTCGACTCTATTAACGCCTTTGGTTACACAAAATTCATACGATGACAAAACAAAGCAACACTCGAATTTTAGGCGAAAAATCGAGGGTTGAGAGATTATTTGCGCACACAGATTAATTCTGCGGACAAGAATTTACATTATTTTTGTTCTGTCAAAATTTGAGAATATAAGTTTTATTTAATAAACATCGAAGTATCTATTCAAATAAAAGATGTCCCTTTCAAATTTAAATCTCAAAAGTTGCCAATTGAAAATTTGCAACTTTTAATTTCAAATCTAAGAGATTAAATCTCTTCAATTCAAAAATTTAATTTAATCTGAATTTTGAGAGTTTTATTCAGGAATTTATTTAATTTATTTTCTACTTTTGAAAATAATAATTTCCAACATATACCACAGCATTTAGAAAATACGTGATTTTTTCGTACTACAGTATATAACACTCTTTTAGTCATGGGTATGACTAAACCATCCATCCATATACAAATTCATGTAATTATTAAACACTTCGTACAATATCGTATAAGCATTCTCGAGTGCGCACCCAACGCGATCCTTCCCGAGAATAGTTCGATACGACATTCTTTATCTTCGAATAAATCCAATAACAATAAAATAACCGACATAAATTTGTGAATACCTGTTGGTCATGATTCAAATCTTGCTAAATGTTTAATCTAGACAAGCTCTGATGTAATTCTAGGACATTTTCCTTTTGTTGTTTTTGTCGTGTTTGTGTCTAGTTTGCATACATCATCCCGGAAACAACAGCTACACCAGCAGCACTTCATTGCTACAGCGCGAGATAAAGTACCATTTATAATTACCCGGGATTGATGGGATCTTTTTTATCTTCTAGTTCTTGAGAAAATAAGCCTCGATCCAAGGAAGATCAGTCGATGGATGTTCCCTTGTTGAGGTGAGTTCTTACTATTAATCTTGTCCTAATTTGCTTTGAGAATGGAAAATTGATTTGTGTAGGTCGTCACAATTTCTTTAGTGTTAGAAGAATTTTAATTTGGGATTTAGAATGAAATTTTGAAATATTTTCTTTTTGTAATATACTATAAATAAAAATTAGAGTTTAATTTAATAGGTTTGAGGAAAATTAGTAAAGAATGGTGTAAGATCAAATTCAAATTTAGGCTGGCAGAGAAAAACTGATTACATAAATATCGAAAATTTCGTTATTTCAACTACACTAAATGACTTTTCAAATTGGTCAAGACTCTCTAGTTTATGATCGCTTCTCTATGGTACCAGTTGTTGTTTTATTGAATTTGCTTCACTAATAGGATCACGATTTGACTTTACGTCCTGGAGGACTAACAGGACGAACTGCTCACATCAATAACCCGGCCCCTACCACCTATAGGGATTTTTAGACAAGTTTCTTTTGAAGTGGATACCTGAATGCCGAGTATGGCTCGTAACAATCTATCTTCGGGAGCATACGAACCAGAATCAAAGAATTAGTAGATCTGATCATTCATCTCGTCCCTATTTTTTATTTTCGGTTGTCCCACATAATTTGTCTTTTCATGAAATTAATTATACACTTTAATCATATTTTAAAATTTAAAATTTTAAAAATTTTAATTTTAATTAAACTATTTAGTTATTTTAATCTTAATCTATAATTATTTTTACTAAATAATAATTATTTTTACTAATACACTTCTTATACTTACTAATTATATTTTACCTAAATTCACGTATCTACGTTAATACGCCCATCTTATCTAGGACGGAGAGAGTACAATATTTACTGTGGTGAAAGTTTGTAAGAAACACACATGCTCTTTGTGCCAGCTTAAATCTAACATTTTTTGTACATATTACTTAAATACATCAATTGTGGAGTATTCAGGCCAGGCCGGGCCCTATGGCCCTGGCCCAGGGCCATTTTCTCTAGGGGGCTTACAGGAGCCCAATAATATATCTATATATATATACTCTTATATCCTAATATATATATATATATATTATTATTATTAAATATTTTATAAAATATATAAACTTAATTTTTAAATAAAAAATTTATTTCGTATTATTTTTAAAATAAATTATGTTTATATTAATTTTTTTAATTATTTATTTATATGTTTTTGTATATTTATTTAATTGTATAATTTTATATATTTTTGTTGTGAATTATGTAAAATTATGAAAATACGAAAGAGAATAGTATTTGTGTGTTTTTTATATTTATATTTTTATGTTTATATATTTAAATTTGTATATTCTATTATATTTTTTGGTGATATTTTTAAAAATTGTGTATTATATAAATATTGGGTTTATTTCTTTACCAAAAAATTTTCAATATATTTTTCAAAAAAATCAATATACTACACAAAGTCATTATATTTTTATTATTTACATATATCAAAAAAATTTCTTTAAACCAAAATACAAAACGAAAACCCTAAATAAACACTTTTGTTTGAAATTTTTCTTTTAAAATTTTTTATTATTTATAAAAAAAAAATTTAAAATATTAAATCAAATATTTTTTTTTTGAATTTTTTATATTATACGAAAATTTAATTTTATACTAAAAAATTGTCACATTAATTTTATTTATATTTTGATCTTTTAATATATAAAAATTAATTTTATTTTTACATTTACATTAAAAATGTGTAAAATTCTTTTTATTATTATACTAATATAAAAATATATATTTACGGTCTACTATTTCAATTTTTTCCCGAGCTTTAAAAAAGTCGGGAACGGCCTGCAAGTATTTTATATATTTTTACTAAAATACAAAAGAATATTACATAATTTATCCAAATTTTGGTAATATAGTTTGATATTTTTTCAATATACTACCTCCTTACAATAACAAACAAAAGTTACGACTTATTTATTTTTTGTCGTATTGATATTTAAATATTAATTTTTACTTCCTCCATCTCCTACTTTTAGATTTGAGTATATAATAAAATGAAAATAAAGAGAAAAAGAAGTGTAAAAAAAAAAAGTATTAATAGTTAATGGTAGAATCTAGAGTTACTTAAAAAATAAAATTTAATTCTTTTAATTGGACCGACTAAAATAAAAATATGTAAGCTTTAGAAATGGAGAAGGGACTATATCAAAATATAATACTAAGAGAAAACGACAAAAGTATTTATATTGATATATTATAATACAAATATAAAAAAAAATTTAATGTATTGAGAGTATATTTCTTTCCATCGGCTAAAATTATTAGGTTTGGTTTGGTTAAAATAATAATATTTTCATGTTAAAATAAAATAGATAAAAATAAAATAAAATTAATGTATTATAAAATATTTTATTAAATAGTTGATAAGTAGTGTGGTGAGATAATTAAAAAAATAAATAAATAATAAATTATTATTTGTTAAAATAAGTAATGCTTCCTCCGTCCCACATATCTTCCCATTTTCGTTTGTCTCATTTATTTTGTCACTTTCTTTCTTTTTAAAAGAATTATACATTTTAATCTTATTTTAAAACATTTAATTTATAATTTTTTAAATTTTAATTATATTAATAAGTTATTTTAATTTTAATATATAATTATTTTTATTATACGATAATTATTTTTTTAATACATTTTTAATTATTTACTAATTATATTTCTTCTAAATTTTTGTGTCTACAGGAAAACGTACAAAATATCCGGGACAGAGAGAATAATAATTAAATTATGAGTGTATAAACTTGTTTGTGCATAAGCTGAGTGGATTGTTAAAAAAATAATAATTACTATTATATAATTTTGGCGGAGAAAGTATTTATTTATATTAGTATGTACTGATAATTCGGAATATCAAACGTATTATTTTAATTTTTTTAAATTTATAAAGTTATTTTTTATTTTGATATTAAATTGCATGTATCATATTGTAAAAGCGATTTGGTGTTTTGAATTATTGGTCATACCAAATTTTCTTCATGATATAGGTATGTTTTTTTAACCTATCGAAAATTTGATATACAGTAGTATTTTTGGTATTGTGTTATAAGCCATTCCCAATTCAATCTAAAAATGCACATGTCACGTTTTATATATATATATATATATATATATATAAAGCACATCTCAATTTTATTAAATCCAATTCTATTAATTTCAATAATTCAAATGCTTCATTTGATTCTATTACAACATGGGCATGTCATGTCCACTTCGACTACTTTGTATGTTAAAATACTGTTGGAAGGTTAACTATTGCACCATATATTTCATTAATTTTAATATTAATGGAGTCAAATATAATACTCCCTCCGTCACTCCGTCTCGGTGTAAGGTTATCATTTACTCTTTATACATAAATTGTTTAATATTAGTATTATAATGAGTTGTAGTGAAAAAGACGAAAATACCATTATTAGTATTATGTAACATAAAAGTAATGACATTTGCGTAATATAATGTAAGTTTGAAGAATATTTATTATGTTATGTAGGTAATACAATTATTAAATTAAGAAATTATAACATTATTTTGGAACATGCGAAAATGAAAAATGGCAACCTTTCAATTGAACGGATGGAGTAGTAATATATTATACTAGAAATTGTTGTTGTTATTATTATTATTAGGCTAAATTGCACAAAGGCTACCTGTTGTTTCATAAAATTGCTTCAAATCTCTTATATTTTTAAAACTGCGTCAAACTTTCTTGTGGTTTTATAAACTCTCGTCTAACTCCCTCGGCGGTCTTTATTTAACTGTATTTGACCTAAATGTGCTCAAACTGTGAATAAATTTTAGAATCTCAAATTTATAAACCTCTAAAATTACAAATATATTCATTTTTCTTATATTTAGTCTTAAAAAATAGTAAATATACTCAAAAATAGTTATTTTTCTGAGATTTTAAGAGTTTATTTTTATTATTTTTTTAGGCTAGAAAAATAAATATATTTGTAATTTTATGGGTTTAAAAATTGAGATTATAAAATTTATTCGCAGTTTTGACGCATTTAGATCAAATATCATCAAATAAGGACCGCCGAGAGAATTAGATGCAGAGTTTATGAAACAAAGAGGGAGTTAACGCAATTTTAGAAATACGATAAATTTAACGCAATTTCATAAAACCACGTATAAATTTTATACGATTCAGCGCTATTATTATTATTATTTAGATAACAAAAATAGAAATGCAAATGAAGACACATACATAAAGGAAGTCTTGTGAGTATGGGATGGGATTATTTATGACAGTAATAAGAGACCATTGCAGAACAGAGAATCAGAATCTCGCAACCCCTACCCTACCCCACCCCTACCCCTACACCCTACAATATTATTATTATTATTATTATTATTATTATTATTATTATTATTAAATAGTTCTGTATTTAAAAAAATAGTTTACGTGCATCAAATTTTTAATCTTATCTAATGGTACAATAAATAAATTAATTAAATACTCATGCTAAAAAGAATGATGTTCCATTATGCTTCACGATAGTTTTAAATATAGTATTAAAAAAAAAAAAAAAAGACAAAGTCAAATTTCATGATTAGGGAACAAAATATTTTAAAATCATCGTCAAATATTTTATTAATTAATTTAAGTTTCAATTATACAGTTGAAGTTGTTAAATTAAACACCTCTTTATTTAGACATCTGTCACGTTGTATAAATACAAGATCCCAAGTTGACAATTTCATTTAAAAGTTACTAATTAATTTCATAACAATAATAATAATAATAATAATAATACAATCATAGAATAATGTATATATTCCAAGATATTTTAAATTAAAAATATTAAATTAAATCTGAAAATAGAATAATAATAATAATAATAATAATAATAATAATACACGAAATAAGGTTAAGGGATTATTTACTTTCACCTTTTAAATACAAAATATATCATCAACATTAAGAAATAGAATAAAATTTTCAATTTTACTTGTATATAATTATTTGTTTTATAAAAGGATATTATATTCAAAGCAAACCCTTCACTTTGCATAAATAAAACTATTGCATTTGCTTATAATATCTTTTTCCTCTAATTTTCCTTAAATATTTATCATATTGAAATACTATTGTATTTAAAAACTCATGTAAATGAATATTCTATTCCTTTTCCTACGTCACACAAAAACATTTATTTAATTAAATAATTTCAACATACTATCCTCATCAGCTATCACCAAATTAAAAATCAAACTCTAAGAAAAAAAAAATTAAAAAAAAATAATAATGAACACAGAAAACAAGAAATTCAAGAAAGTGAAGAACAGATTCGATCGAACTTCAACAACAGACGAAACGAAAGAAGGAATCGAATCCCAAACAGACAGACAGACAGACAGATCATCACAACGAAAACTCCATCAAGAATCAACACCAATTTCAGAAAAAATAAAAATTCAATTCAATCGAAAATTACCAAATTCAGGAGGAAGACGACGAAGCGTTTCCAGATCGATCGAAGTGCAGGAGATGGCCGCAGCATTTGGGGCAGATCTCCTCCTGTTTCGGCACCATGTAGTACATCAAGCACCTCTTACATCCAGCCACCACCAGCACGCTTCCTCCGCCGCTGCCGCTTCCGCCGCCGCCGCCGGCGGTGGCGGAAACATCCACATCAACGCCGACGTTCTGTTGACGACGGGAATAATAATTGTTGCCGGCGCTCCATTGCTGTCGCGACGAGGAAGGCGACGATTCCGAGCCGGAATCGTCGCTGTCGCAGGAGCTACTGTCGTCGCCGGAGTAGTCGTCGGCGACGGCGGTGTAGGAGGTGGCGGCGGTGGCGCGGCGAGGATCGTCCTTGACCTTCTTCCCCGTCCTCCAATTGATGTAGTAAATTTCTCCAGTCTGCGATTCACAGACGGTGAAAATTGAAAAAAAACCACACCAAAATCACATCAAAGGTACAAAAAAACCAAAATCTCAAAAACCAAATAAAACCGCCATTAAAGCAGAGCTTCAAATTGGGAAAAATAACCAACAGCAGCAAATGCAAAACAGTAAATCCTCCCAAAGCATTAAATGCACAAAGCAATGAATGAATTCAATTCCAACACTTGATCTATCTCCAAAACCTATAAATATACCTTCAAATCGAGGCATTGCTCCCAGTTCAAAGGCAAGGGGCCTTGAGAATTGAGTTCGACCCTAGGAGCATCATCGCCGCCGTCCGCCGACACATTCCGGCGGGAATCCGATTCAGAACCCGAACCCGACCCGGAGCCCTCTCCCTGGTGAGTGTTGAGGGAGAAATTCTGGAAGGATCTCTCAAGCGAAGCAGTAACCGTCGCCATATCCGAACTCGCCATAAACCACAAATCCCCAGAAATTAGCAGCAAGGAGAAGGTGTAACCATGGAGGCACAGGCAGGGGCGGGGCGAATCTGAAGAGAATAAATTGAAGAAATGGGGGAAAGTGAGAGCGGCCGGGAAATAAGGCAGAGGAGAGAGAGAGAGAAGAGAGAGAGAGGGAAAGGATGGGATTTGGGAGACGAAACGAAAAGCGACGGAATTTGTGGCTTTAAGAAGCAAAAAAAAATCACAAAAATAAAATAAAATATTATAATCAAAGTAGTAGCAGCAGTAGGGCAGCATGATTCTTCTTCATTCTGCACCCACAGCATATCATCATATCCATCCACATTCTCCTATTTATTTATTTTAAGAATTATGGCCACAAAACAGACAGACAAACAAACAAAAAACTGCATAAATAACTCATCTTTCACCAGGTCACTAAATTAAATTAAATTACAGTCAAAAAGAAGAAGAAGAAGAAGAAGAAGAAGAGGAGGAGCTATCTACTCTGATCTGATCTATCTACGTCCGATTCTTTCTTGTGAAGTAATTAATTTGATTTTTGATTTTTGATTTTTGATCATCAGTTTGAGTTTTGGTGTGGACACCAAACTCAGTGTCACTATCAGCATCCAATATTCACTGTCACTGTCTAAAACAGCCATTATCATTATCAGTCAATCAATCTAAGTTAATACAGGAGTAGTAATCGATTGAGAAAGAATTAATGATGACGATGATGATAATGATGATGATGAGTGGATCTGAATTTTGCGATCACGAGATGAGTGAGAGAGAGAGTTTGTTGTGTCTGAAATAGAGAGAGAAGAAAAGAGCAGAGGTACTATTTTGTTTGTACTTCTTTTGTTAAACCACAAATACAATAAGTAATATTATCTCCACCAACGTATCGCGTCTGCTACACCGTAGATACGGTATTTTAGAATATGTGTAATTAGTAGATAATTAAAAATTTATTAGTAAAAATAATTATCCTATAATATAAATAATTATAAATTAAAATTAAGATAACTAATTACTTTAATTAAAATTAAAAAAAATTAAATTGAAAAGTTTAAAATATATTAAAGTGTGTAATCATTTTTAAAAAAGAAAAGTGACATGAAATGTAGGACGGACAAAAACGGCAATATGGACATGGTATGTGGGACGGAGGGAGTAGTACTTAATACGGTTTCATTTACTTTTTACGAATTGATCTTTAAATATTAATTATTATATAAAAATATAGTATAAATTAAAAAAAATTATAAAAATATTTTTATTAGTGTCTTATAATACTATTATAATGATATTTTTACAAAAATATATACAAATATAAATATATTTTTAATGTTAAATATTAGAGCCGAATGGAGGGAATGAGTAAAATAAATGGCCATCTTACCTAAATAACTTAAATTGTTAAAATACATGCTCTCTTTGTTTGGCTAATAAATATATATTTATTTTTCTAGTAAAGTTTTAAAAAATAATAAATAGTATTTTAATTTTAGTAGATAGTTAAAAATAATATAACTATAATTTCTTTTTATTTTTTTGTATAAAAATAAGCATGTGATATTAAAATAGAAATATTTATAAAAAAAATATATAATAATTACTTTGTAATTAAACAATCAAAATAAAAATATATATTTTCCGACTAAATAGAGAAAATATTATTTGTTTATTTATCTACGAAGTCAACCAAAAATTTAAAAAAAATATGTTTTTTTCAGACAAAATTCTTAGTCGTATTAATTTAAAATAGATGTAATTTTTTTTATTTTTTAATAAAATAAAAATTCGCAACTATTACTATTCGAATATGCTCTGAATAAACTCCAATCGAACTTAATATCCTGACATATGTAATTAGCATGATGGGATGTTGTGTATATGAGATGAGAGTAGCAATTGGGAATGAGGAATCTTTTTGCAAAGTCTTCTATTTACTGACTGATTTCTGACCCAATTTCAATATTTTTTACTTTTATTTTTTTCTCTCTCAATTATTATTATTCTTTTTCTCTTTTTAATTATTATTATTATTCGTAAAAATAAAAATATTTTGAATTTTTTTTAATTTTTTAATTTGTTTATAAAATAGTTAAAAATAATAATAATAATAATAATAATAATAATATATTGTTTTTAGAAATTTTTTTAATAAATAATGAAAGTAAATGAAAATGAAAACACGAGTATGGGTAGGATCTTGTTTGGAGAAGTGAATATTGTATAAAGAAACATATCTGAAGGTACAAAGCAAGCAGAAGTTGTTGCCTTTCCCAATTCTATAGTGTGTGTTTGTTTGGGGGTTCGGATTTTGGATTGGGATTTGAATAGTAAAAATTTTGAATTTGAATAGTTGTATGATGTGATATAAATAGGTGTTGATTTGATGTTTTGAATGTAAAATTGATTTTTAGTATAATATAAAAACTGAAAAATAATTGTTTGATTTGATATTTTTGGGGGAAAAAAATTGGATGAATAGTTGAATTTAAATCCAATCCTCCAAACAAACACACCCTAAATAGATTATTTTTTTTATTTTTTATTTTTTCTTTCTTCAAACTCTACTTATCATAATAGTTATTTTTCTAAATATATATATCATATATATTTTTCTTACAAAATATTAAATTAAATACTGAATAGTTCAAAAAAAAATTAAATATTTAGTAAAAGTTTTCTAATTTTTAGATTCAAAACTCTGTGTAAAGATCAATTTTTTTATAAATATTAAATTAAATAGTATTTAAATATAAAATTCAAATCAAAGTTTTATTTAGTAAAAGTTTTCTAATTTTTAGATTCAAAACTCTGTGTAAAGATCAATTTTTTTATAAATATTAAATTAAATATTATTTAAATATAAAATTCAAATCAAAGTTTTCCGATCTCAACAGAAAGGAACACAAATTTCCAAAATTTCTATGAACAGAACTTAATTATTTTATTATTTTAGTTTTTTTCTTTAACAAAATTTTTTAAACATATTACTTAAAAAATTAATATATTATATTTTTATTATTTTTATATATTAATATGATTCTCTATGTTTAACATAAAAAAAAATTTCTTCAAAACAAACACACTAATTCTATGAAGAAATTAAACAAACTCAACATGTATTTTGGACTTGTGCTTTTTCCATATCTTTTTCAAGTTGGTGCAAACACATCTCAAGATAGCCTTTTAATTTTGGTGTTCTTTTTCTTCAAATATGTTAGATATAATATTTTTTTATATAAATTCAAGAATTATATTTTTTGGGAGGAAATTTTTGTTAAAAGTTAATAATGAAATATAATCATAAATATTCTATTGATTTTTATTTTTTTATTTTTGCTTAAAATATATTACTTTATTTTAATTTTTCAATACAAAGCACTTAAAAAAAAAAAAGAGAACCATCAAAATTAATGTATAAATTTATTATTATTATTTGAATAACTATTTCATGCGATATAAAAATAATATGAACTCTTATTCGAATGATTAAAATTAATTGTAATATAATATAATAATTATTTAATTTTTACTGAGTATATGATGAATTACAATAATTTGACAAACAAAAAGAAAAAAAAAAAATAACTCGTGACATAAGTTTTTTTCAAATCTTATGTTCACGTGTGTTTGTTTCATGCGATGCATCAACTTTTTACACACTCGTGCGCACGATCCATAAAGGAGATTCTTTGAAATCTTTTAAGATGTCGTTGATCATGACATTGAAATTTTTCTTATTTATGAATGGACGATGAAAAAATAGATACGACAATAAGTAGGTATAATCGAAGCGCGACATGATCCAGATTTCAAGGAAATTTGGATTGAATACGAAATTATTTTGTCGTAACGAAATCTAGTTTAAGAATAACTTTATCCATATAACGGATGTGGATGTGGATGTGGACGTGTACCCAATTAATATTAAATATTAATATTCAATATCCAAAAAAAAAAATTTAATTCATTAATCAAATTTGTGGTCGTGTATCCTAATAATCACAATTTTGATTAATAAATACAATTGGACTTGTACACAATTTTATATGAAAATAAAAATAAAATATAATACTTACAAGGGAAAAAATCAAAACTAGTCCAAATGAAAACAAAAACAATCAATATTAGTCTCATTATAAAAAAATAATCAATTGTAGTTCCATTATAAAAAAAATTTAATCGTTCTTGGTCCTAATTTTAATTTTAATGCTGATGTGGATGTAATGATGTGATGTGACACCTATATGGATGGCCATGTGTTTTATCTTAAACATGGCCATGTGTGAGCCAGTCCTAACTTCCTCTTCCTCGAATAATCTTTAAACAAGTTCTTCATCACTGTCAATTTCTGCAGAATCGTACACGACTAAATTGTCCGCCTGCTCGAGCATTTCCCGTTCAATCGCCGGATCGTGCGCCGATTAAAACAACAAATACGCAACTTCGAAGGAGGAGATGGTGGCGAAGAGCGACACAATCAATGCTCGGACGGATCCTACGTTCGGCTTAACCACCACAACCTTTTGGTTTGAATAAACTCCTCTGCCGAATCGAGGAGCAGAGCGACATCCCTTTCCGAATCGGACTCCTCCGCGAAGTGCTCGTACATTTTCACCTTGAAAGCGAGCGCAAATTTCTGAAACATATGGAGATTTGTTGAAGCTGCTTCTCTTGACGGACCACCGTCATCGACTACTCCGCCGTCTTCAAGACTTCAACCATGGAACCAAATGAAAAACACAAACAGTGGATCTTTATTAAAAACTCACCTCAAAATTATACACGGCCGTGTTTACTAAAACATGGTTGTGATTCATCGAGATTAAGTGCCTCATCATATTGTTACATCCACGTCAGCATTAAAATTAACACTAAGGATCAGAAGCGATTAAAATTTTTTATAATGAGACTACAATTGATGTTTTTTTTTTCTTTTATAATGAAACTAATATTGATTGTTTTTATTTTCATTGGGATTACCATTGACTTTTTCATTGACTTTTTCCTTACTTATAAATAAAGTAATTAATTAATCAATTTTTATTATTTTTATTATTATATTGTACAAATTACATTACAACTTGTCTTTCCAAAAATATAAAATAAAAAACTGATTATTTATTTATTCATAAAATATTTAAAATAATTCACATGTCTTAACGTAAATTTTTTTTTCTCTCTTTTAAATTAGAAGGAAAGCATTGATCATTTTTATTCATTAAAATATATATATATATATATATAAATTTGGATGAGAATATTTTTACATGCATTTTATTGTATGAAATATTAATACCTCTATTAATGCATAATAATAAATACTTCACCCCTCTTATAAATGTATAATTACAACTTTGACAAAAATAAATAAAAAATAGTGTTTTGTTTAGTATTTTAGTTTGAAATATCTTTTTTATAAGATATGAGAAGTTATGTCAGTAATATTAGAAAAATGATATTTTATATTAAATTATTGATTTATATGAAAAAATATATAATAAATATATATTGAAAATTATATTAAAAAATTAGTACTTTTATGCTCTCTCTATCTCCATCTGGGCTAATCCACAATACCCCTGCGCGCGAAAACTAAAAAATAATAATAGTATTTTAATATAAAAATAAAGTAGGTAAAAAATAAATGAGTGTATTATAAAAATATATTAAATAGTTAATAATAAAGTAGTAAAGTAAATATAAAAAATAGTAACAAATTGATTATTAATTATTTATAAGTAGAAGCAATGGAATTTTAAATAGATAAATTTAGCAGGACAATAAAAAAAAAAAAGTAAAAATAAATTAAGCATAATCATCCTAAACGAAGAGATTATTTTTATTAAAATAAAATGAGAATTTTTATAGTGTTATTGTATTATTTTTAAATTAAAATAAAATAAAATACATCAATAATATTTGTATAATAAATAAGAAGATAATAGGTATGAAATAAAAACAAAATGTAATTTTTAAATTATGAACGCACTTTTGATACAACACATCATTTTATTTATGAGTGTATAGTCAATCGATAATAAAAGTGTTTATTTACTTGTAAAAATTTATTTATAATATTATATTAAATTTAATTTTATATTTGAAATATCACATCAATACATATTTATATCAATTATATAATTATTTTAATTTAAAATTTTATTATTTAAAATTAAAATTTAAAACCAAACTCTTATAAATAAAAACAATATCTCATTATTTTATAAAAATATTCTCAAATATTCATTTTTAATGCACATTATTTATTAAATACAAATATACCAAAATATTTTAATATTTACTTATTTAACTTTAGATTGTGTATTTATTCGCTTTAATTTTGAATTTAATTTTTAAATAATATTATAAACAAAAATAGTTATAATATAAATCTATATTGATATAGTAATTTAAATATAAAATTAAATTTTAATTTAATATAATAAATAAAAAATGAATATTTAATCTAATATTTTCAAAGAAAAAAATAAAACCTAACTTAAAATCTATACAAAAGAATTTGTTCATTTAATATTTTTTTTAGGCGACATAAGTCTATATAAATATCACAAAAGAATATATAAAATATATAATATATATAGTCTATTCATTAAATAATCAAAATTAAATATAAATATATTATTTTTTTATATTATTAATATTTAATATATTATTCAAAATTAAACACATCCAAAGACAATCTTACTTAAGTATAAAATACTATTACAGTTATTATTACTCTCTCTATTTCATAATTAAATATTTATTTACTTGATTTTTAAATATAAATTATTATATCAAAATATATTAAAAATTAAATAAAAATAACAAAAATAACTAGTTCCTCCTTCCACAAACTAACGTCCTACTTCTCTATTTGGAACATCCAAAAACAATTATCCTCTTCTATTTTTATACATTGAATTTACTTTTTTACCATTACTTTATTTATCTTTTTTATATCTATACACAAAATAAAAGACTATTTTGTTAATTTACAACGAAAAAACTAATTACCTAAAAAAATATGTAAATATCATTTAAAACATTATAAAATAAACGGAGAAAATATAATTTATAATAATAATATAACGATAATTATAAAAAAAGATATAAATATTAAAAAATTTAATATTAAATACAATACCCAAAATATAAATATAAATATAAATATAAATAGAAAACAAAAAAGGTAAAACAAGCAACAACATTACAACATTTCCCCAACACAAACTATATACAAAACCCCCAAATCACCAAAATTCTTACACCAACAACCAACACACAAACTAAACGCATTCACCACCACATCTCCGGCGGCCACGTCAGCCACCGCCGGCGACGGCGCCGGCGCCATCAGGGTGGCTGCCCGCCCGGAAATCCGACACAGTCTCCAGCAGATGATGCGACGCCTTCTCAAAATTAACAAACCCCATGAACCAGAACTCGTGGCCGTCCACCGTCACCAGGTGGATGTACTTTTCCGGCGGAGTCTCCCGCATGACCACTGGAGCGACGCTCTCCACGCTCCCCACCGGAATTGAGACCTTGTAGTAGCTCCAAGTCTCCTGCCCCGATGGCGCCCGGAACGACAGCGGCCGGTCGCTGCAGAACGCCACCCGGCCGGTCGACAGGTAGAGAGTCCCGGCGACAGGGCCGGTCGTCGTCGACAGGTAGCAGGCGAATGTTTTCTTAAGCTTCTCGTTCGGAGCCACCGGCGGAAATATCTGCCGGAAAAGTGACTCGAATCCGCCCTCCGTCGCGGCTTTCGCCGTCAGATTGATCTTCCCCCACGCCGCCTCCGACACCGACGCCCCTGTTTTCACTGCCAAATCCAAAACCAGAATTAAAAATATTACTACCTCCGTCCGGACTCCGGTGGTCTTATTTATTGGTCGTTCAATATTAATTATTATATCAAAGTATAGTACTCCATTCGTTATGCAAATATATTCTATCAGGCACGAATTTTATAAAAATAAGTAATAATAATTAATTTTAAAATGTAGTAACTTTTTACTTAAAAAGATAACGACGAGTACAAATTTTAAAAACATATGTAAAATAATTCCATTATAGCTTATGTAAAAAAAAAAAAAAAATTATAGAAATATAAATATATTTTTAATGTTAGGCACGAAAAATGGCTGACCGATAATAGTATTTTTAGTTTAATATTTATACTTTTTATCTAACATAAATAATATTTTATAATTTATACATCCTCCATACGATATTGTGTTATATTTTTCATTTTTGTTCTTACATCTTAATCCCAATTTAATTTTATAATTTATGATTAATTTATATTATATTATTATAATTAATTTTACTAATATATTTTTAATATATTTACAATAAATGTGTCATTATATTGGAAACAGTGAAAATAATATACTATTACATAAATATCATTATTTTTTTATATTATAAAATACTAATAAAAAATATTTTTATTTAATATAATATTAATATTAAATAATCTTTATGACAAATAATACTCTTATTTCTTATAAACAACGGATGGAGAATTATAAACATACGATTATAGACTGACATATCTATCTGTCATAAAAGAAAAAAAAAAAAAAAACACGATAGATTTATTAATCTTCTTTTCATTAAAAAAAAAAAAAAATCTGTTTTATTTTTACCAAAAAATAGTAATTTTTACTTATTTTTTCTCTAATTTTTATTATAAAAATGGATATTATATTTAAAATACATGTCAAAGTAAATAAATCAATTTTTCTAGTTTTACCAAATCACGGCAATTTACCCTTCCATTTATACAAACTGGGGAAAACTTAAGATTCAATAAATTCATTCGCACAAGATCATCAATAAACCCTAACTTCAAAAAAAATTGGGGAAAATTTGAGACTCAACAAATTCATTCAGACAAGATCATCAATAAACCCTAATTTCAAACAAACTGGAGAAAAATTGAGATTCAGCAAATTCATTCGAACAAGATCATCAATTCGAAGAAACTCACGATTGTGCCAGATGTTCCGCCCGATTTCCTCGGCCCGATGGCTCCACGAATTGAACATATTGACGACGTATTCGACAGGGTTGTCGGCGGGCTTGTCGACGGGGGCGTACACCACGTACGGCTGAGGGCCCTGGGCCGGGCCCTGGGCCTGCCAGAGCGCCGCCTGCTGATTGTCCGGGTGCACCGTCGGGTCCGCCGGCGGGCCCATTAAGTGAGTGCCGTATTTCTTCGTTTCTTCCTCCGCCGGCGCCGGCGGTTTCTGATCTGGGTTTGTGCTCGTCATCGTCTCAGGCGATCGAATTGGAAAGAAATCGAGAATTTACGATTATAAATAGAGATCTGAATTCGAAGTGAGATTGGTAACTTGGGTGTTAAGATTGCTGTGGAAGAAGGGAAACTTAGCCGCGTGAAGCTTCTAGAACTTCGGAGATCGATATGAACACCGGAGACTTCTGGATGAACACGAACTTCTTTAAGCCGACCAAGTGGGCCCCACTCTCCAGAAATACAATAATTTATTATGGGCCATAACAATGTCAGCCCAAATGTCAGCCCATTAATAATGAAGTCCAGATATTAAGTATTTTTATTTATTTATTTTCATTATATTTTTAGTCCCAAATTTTATTGTCGGTAGGTACCTGTTTGGATAAAAGTTCTTGAAAATATTGTAGATTTAAAAAATATAGTCTTAATTGGGTTGGACATGACATTTAAAAAATATTGATATTATATTACTAATTGGTAAAAAATATAGATAAAAGACTCTTTTGCCCTTGTGACTATATTAGTGTAAAAATAGTGGCAATTGTGTAATAAAAATAAAAAAGTAGGGGTGATTTTGAAATGAATAAAAATGGTAAATAAGACTGAGAGATAAAGTATTTGATATGATAAGATGTGATAATTTCCAGTCAGTTTTTATATGGGCCTGTCCCAAATTTGAAATGGATAGACTCAGCTCATGGACTTAGAAATTCAGACATAATCTTGCCTTGATTGATACAGTCTATTTTTTCTTTTAGTACATGTCATTTTATCCGTCCAACATGTAATGTTATTTTTTTAAAAAAAAAATAAATAATAATAATAATACACATTTTAATTTCATTTTAAAATTTTATATAATTTTTTAAAAAAAATTAATTGAATTAATTAATTATCTTAATTTTAATTTATAATAATTTATGTTATAAGATAATTATTTTTATTAATATATTTTTAATTACATACTAATTATATTTATCCTAAATTCTCGTATATACAATAACTCGGACATGCAATGTGGGACGGAGAAGGTAATTTATTAATGAAACTATATATATATATATATATATTATGTGAAGTATGAAAATTGCGAAGGAATAGTAAAATTGAGAAGGAGAATGGGCTACTATAATTTATACTTCCTCCATTCCATGTAATATGGATGTATTACTGTAATCACTAGAATTTAGGTAAAGTATAATTAGTAAGTAATTAAGAAATATATTAGTAAAAATAATTATAGATTATGATTAAAATAATTAAATAGTTTAATTAAGATTAAAAAAATTTTAAAATTTAAATTTTAAAATATGATTAAAGTGTATAATTAATTTTTCAAAAAAGAAAATGACAAATTATATGGGATGAACAAAAATAGAAAATAGGGACAAATTATGTAGGACGGAGAGAGTAATTTTTTTTTTTTTTTAAACAAAGAAAATGAATTCCTCTGTGTTGGCCAATCGATTAAAAAAGTAAGGATTCTGATTTTGCATCAGCATGATAGTTCAAGAAGCATTTTTTCTCTTAGACCATTGTGATTAATACAAGGGTGTTTTTGTTTGAAGGATTTCGAAGGATTTACACTATTTATATAAAAAAAAAATTTTAAAAAATATCAAATCAAATATTTATTTTTTATATTATACTAAAAATTAATTTTATATTTAAGATATCACTGTTCCAATTTAAATTTTTTATTATTCAAATTTCAACTCAAAATCCAAACATTCAAATAAACGCACTCTAAGTGTTTCAGTTCAAGTTTTTAAATATATATATATATATATATTTTATATATAAAGTATAAAGAATAGTCTTTGTAATAAAAAATATATATTGTATATATTAAACATCGTATTAGTTTAAGTGAACAAAGCCATATAATTTATGCAATTATGATATATTATGTTAGTTTAAATGGATGTAATTATTCATTAATAATTAATGATTTAAATAGATTTCTTAAAATGATTTTTTTAATAGTTTTAAATCAGAAATATTGAAAAAAAAAAAAAAAACTATTTACCTTATTCTATGAGTGTTTGTTTTGTATTTTTGGACAATGAATTTTTTATATTGAATATGAGAATAACATAAAAAAAATAAAAAATAAAAAAAAAGTAAATAGAGGAGTATATATTATGTATATATTTAATTTTTTAATAATATTAATCATAAATAGTATCATTTAAAAATATTTGGAAGTGGCCCGACGATCTTGTATATTATACTATATGATTATGACTTGTCTATTTTATAAATTCTGAATATATTTTAAATTATCTATATTTAAAGTTTTTCTCTACAAAAATTAATATATCGGATCGGGTCCAACGTCGCCCAAATTTTATCGGCTCACAATTTTAAATACAGTTTAATAACTTTGATTACGGTTTAAGAACCAAAGAATTATATATATATATATGTATTATTATTTTTTTCCCAATTTTTTTTATTTTAATTTTTATGATTACTTTTTATTCGGATTTTAATTTAATAAACCTATTATTATGAGAAAAAAATATAAATAATCTAAAAAATTTATAAAATGATTATTTGTCAATTTATTTATTAAGAATTAAGATTAAAATTGATTAAATATAAATATATAAAATATAATAATTTTAAATAATAAAAAAATTTAAAATTTAAAATATAAATATAAAAAATAGTATTATATTATTATTATTTTTTATATATTAATAATTATTTATTAATATTAATATTATTTTCATTTTTTATAAAAATATAATAATTTTAGTTATAATGAAATTATTAATATTACAAAATATTTATTTTATTTAATACTACTATTTTTTTGCCCTAATTAAAACATCAACACAACACACATCCACGACGCCGCGCCGCGCCGCCGCCTGCACCAGTTCATTCTTCTTCGATCTCTTCTTCTTCCTCCCCCATTCTTTCCTTTCTTCCTGTTTTTTCTTCCTTTTTCTATTTATTTTCTTCTTCTTCTCCACCCACGCTGCTGCTCGGATTCGGCGTCTTCACCCACCCTCCCTGCTCGGCGCCGGTGACTGCTAGTGTCTGACCGGTGAGCCTGGGCAGATGCAGATCTACATTCAAAAAAATATACTCCATATAAGTGGCGAACCGCCGGTTCAAACCGTAAACCGGCGGTTCACAGGTTCTGCAAAGACAAACTGAAACCGCCATTTCTATTTCTTTTTAATAGTAAGATTTATTTGGTTCATGAGAATACTGAATAGTGAATACCGCCATTCTCCGTTGTACAGTGAATCTTCTTTACGAGAGGCCGTACAGCACAGCGTCGATTTCATCTATGCTCTAGTTTCTACCCGCATTCTTCTCCCTCCCACTCGATCTTCTCTACTCACATGCAATTCCAATCCACCTGCGTACGATTCGTTTCCAAGCAAGTAGGCACCAGCTCCTGCAACCTACTCCCACACCACAATTTTCCACTCTATTAAGCAAGGGTGCGAGGGGGAATTTCTATCTGTAATCCAGGTAACGAACTCCGGGAACCCTCTGCCTCTCGTATTAATCTGAAAATTAGGGTGTAGAAATGCGTTGTGGAGGAGAAATTTTAATGTCTGCAATGTGTTTGATGAAATTCCTGTGGGACATTGTTATTTATTTTCGAGCTCTGCTGGCATATGATACGCTTATTAAGCTCAGAAATGGTGATTTTTGGCCATATTGTGTTCATTGAGATCATCTGTGAATGTGTTGCTTCGATTCTGTTACCATTCTAGAAATCAACAAAATGGCAATTGTAGGATGCAGTGAAGCATGTGTCATATGTATGTTTGTTGCTGTCTGCGGTTCCTCAACGTTAGGAATAATACGGATATGTCACAAAAGCTTAGAAACATGGATTAAGTGTATGGTCTTTTTTCTTCTTCTTGTTAGTTAGGCTATAATTAGTCTATCAAAATTTGGGTTGAAATTAATTTATCTAATTTGAAACAGAATGCAGTAGATCTACTTGCCTTGATTTGGTTTTATTTTAGTTCAATTTCATTTTTTAAGTGGCAATGCATATTTTTAATATTTTAACTAATAGGTTGATTTTGGTGTATCAGATTTATCAAAGAACTGCCATTTCATTTCTAGTTGCTGCCCATCATATGCCTGCAGTCAGATGGTGCAGAATACTGCAGCAATGGAATTTCGTGGCAGAGCATCACTTACGGCATGTACAGCCCTTTCTACATCGTTGTGTCTTATCATCCATAGCTCAACCTTGCCAGAACCAGCTCATGCACATGGAGGAGGTTCATTCCTCAATACGGAAGTTCGATTCTCATGTATATGCACGAATGCTCCAGCAATACTTACGTGTGAATGAGCCGATCAAAGGAAGGATTCTCCATTGTCACATTGTGAAGATGGGTAACTGCCTAGACTTGTTCGCTAACAACATTTTGTTAAACTTGTATATGAAAAGTGGGTTTATTTCGGATGGGGTTAGGTTGTTTGAAGGTATGTTGGACCGAAATGTTGTTTCATTTGTTACCATGATCCAGGGATATTCGCAGTTGGAGGAAAATGATAAAGCTGCTGGTTTGTTCTTTCAGTTGTGTAAAGAAGGGCACGAGCTTAATCCTTTTGTTTTCACTACAACTTTGAAGGTATTTGTGAAGTTGGATTGGGTGGAGTTGGTTTGTTGCATTCATGCTTTTATCCACAAGCTCGGTCATGATTCGGATGCATTTGTTGGGACATCCCTTATCGACGCTTATTCAGTTTTTGGGTTTGTGGAAGCTGCTGAGAAAGTGTTCCAGGAGGTTATCGAAAAGGATATGTGTTGTTGGACAGGAATGGTGGCTTGTTATGCTGAGAACAATTGTTTCGAAGAGGCTTTCTACCTTTTTAATAAAATGAGAAAGAAAGGTCTGGTGCCGAATAATTTTACTTTTGCAAGTGTTCTTAAGGCTTGCCTCAGTCTTGATGATGTTGATGTGGGAAATAGTCTCCATGGTTGTGTTTTGAAAACTCGTTACGAGTTGGATCCATACGTTAGTACTTCATTGCTTGATCTGTACACCAGGCTCGGGGACATCAAGGATGCTAGGAAAGTATTCGAGGAGATCCCTAAAGATGATGTTGTTACATGGAGTTTCATGATTGCTCGGTATTCACAGAGTAATCATTGTGAAGAGGCCTTAGATTTGTTTCTTCGTATGAGGCAAGCCCTGGTAATCCCTAACCAGTTCACTTTAGCGAGCGTTCTGCAGGCATCTGCAACAAGTGGATGCCTGAATTTCGGAACACAAATCCACTCCCTCGCGCTCAAGGTCAGTCTTGATAAAAATGTGTTCGTTTTGAATGCGCTCATGGATATGTATGCAAAGTGTGGAAACATGGAGAGTTCGATGGATTTGTTCGTGGATTGCGGAAGCAAAAATGAGGTTTCTTGGAACACAATGATAGTTGGTTATGTCCATCTTGGAGATGCAGAGAAGGCTTTCGAAATGTTCTTGAATATGTGTCGAGAGCGAGTTGAAGCAACTGATGTAACATACTCCAGTTTGCTTTGTGCTTGTGCAGGTTTGACAGTTTTGGATGCCGGCATTCAAATACATGGAATGACGGTGAAAACCAAGTATGACGAAGATGGATCTGTCTGCAATGCTCTTATCGACATGTACGCCAAATGTGGACGGATTAAGGATGCTCGCGTGGTGTTTGATTCGATGAACAATCACGATATCATCTCCTGGAATTCGATGATTTCGGCATACTCCGTGCATGGTCTTGGAGCCGAGGCTTTGAAAGTCTTCGAGAGTATGCAAGAAACAGACATTAAGCCAAACCAACTGACCTTCGTTTCTGTGCTGTCGGCGTGCAGCAATACAGGATCATTAGATCAAGGGCAATCGTACTTCACTTCTATGCAAGAGGAATACGGCGTCGAACCTTGTATGGAGCACTACACTTGTATGGTCACACTTCTTGGAAGATTAGGACATCTCGACAAGGCTGCAAAAATCATCGAAGAAATCCCAAACAAGCCTACCGTCATGGTATGGCGAGCTTTACTCGGCGCTTGCGCAGCACACTGCAACCTGGAGCTTGGGAGATTCGCTGCTGACCGGTTACTTGAGATGGAACCCGAAAGCGAGTCGACTTACGTCCTTTTGTCGAACATGTATGCAGCAGCCAAGAATTGGGACAACATGGTATCTATCAGGAAAAGAATGAAGAACAAAGGGGTGAAGAAAGAGCCAGGGCTTAGCTGGGTTGAGCATCAGGGGATAGTTCACTACTTCGCTGTTGGAGATGATTCTCACCCTGATGTTAAACTAATCCGTGGAATGCTCGAATGGCTGAGTTTCGAAAGCAGGAAGACAGGTTACGCCCCGAATCAGGACACGGTTTTACTCGACGTGGAAGAAGACGAGAAGGCGAGGATGCTGTGGCTACACAGCGAGCGGATAGCTTTAGCTTTTGCCCTCGTAAGAACGCCTCCCGGAAGCCCTATTCGGATAATGAAAAACCTCCGGATTTGTTCTGACTGTCACGTCGCCATCAAGCTCGCATCGAAGCTGGTTCAACGCGAAATCGTTGTAAGAGATATTAACAGGTTTCATCACTTTGAAGATGGCATTTGCTCTTGCAATGACTACTGGTGAGATATTAACATGTTTGGATTTTACAGTCGAAACCAACAAAAATGGAAAAGATCCAAAACTCAGAGAACCCAACAGAAGGACACCATTATTGCTTCAAGTTACCACAAAAACCTTGAACATACATACGTACATACAGAGTTTGGTGTTCAAGAACTGAGTCACTTTGGGAAGCCAAATCCTTTTCTGAGCTTGATAATGGAGGAATACATTTTCCTCCGGGAACCGACTGCAGTGATTCCCATGTCCTTAAGATCCTCCAAAGTTAACATGGGGAGCACTTCATCGTCTACCTCGTGAATTTCGAAGACAGGGGAGTATCTTCCCAACCCTAACCCTAATAGCCACTCCCTCACCCCGACATTGCTGCCTTCCTCGTTGTGATGCAATCCGTTGCTGCCTCCTCTGTGTTGATCCCAAAACTGTAATCCCATGTTCTCCCCGGAATTGATTGGGCTCTGCTGGTCTTTTAACAGAGGGCTTGCGGAATTCTCCGCCGCCTCGAGCTCCCGGAGCTCTTCATTGGTGTTCTGTTGTTGTTGCAGGAAATTTGGGGGTTCGCTGGGGCTGGGACCTGTGGCGGTTCCGCCGTTGTTGACGGCGATGGAGTCGAATTTGTTCCAGTTGGTGCGTGCTCTCCGCGCCGGCTTCCTGATTTTGGGCTTCCGGTGGGGGAAATCGGCGAAATTCTCGGAGGGGTCGATTGTATCTTGGAAATTGGAGTCGGTGGCTCCGCCGTTGACGAGGTTTGTGAGGGGGCGGGTTTTGGAAGATTTGGCGGCGAGGGAGGGGTCCTTGTGGAAGCGCCAGATTCTTCCGGGGCGCCGCGGCGGGGCGTCGTGAGGCTGCTCGCCGCCGATCTCGCCGAGGCGGACGCTCGGGCGGCGCTGCCGTTTGGGGGGGTTGGTTGTGGGAGCGACGGCGGGGGTGGGGTTTTCGAGTGGTGGTGGGTCGCTTGATGGCGCGGCGTCGGCGGAGATTTGGGCTGGTGGCGCTGCGGCGGTGATTTGGGCGTCCGCCGCCTCAAGTTCGGTTGCCATGGCTGAGTGTGTGGAGTGCGTGAGAGAGACGATGGTGCAGAGCAGTGATAACTGATAAGGAGAACCGGACCCCGATTTTGATGGGCCGGGTTTACGATTCTTAATGGGCCGGATTTTTATACCACTGCCCAATTTTAAAATAAAGTGTGCGGACTCTGAAATAAACATAATTATTATATGTATATTTAATTTTTACTCTTAGAGAAACGAGCGAAACTAAATGCGACGTCGTATGGATAATTAGTCGTTGATTAAGCATATAATCGTCGGGCGAAAAAGCAATAAATGTGGTACCATAAATGGCAACGGCAGTCGTCAGAGAGTGAACTGAGTCGACAAATTTTCATCTGCCAATCTGCGTCGATATCTCCGAGACGCGAAGATCTAGGCGCTGGCAGCCACTCCGGCTCAAATTGTTTATTTTTTGTTGAATTTCAGGTCTTTTCCTTGCAGAAATGGAGGGAATGCGGCAGTGGAACAGTGAGTCCGGCGGCGGGTCGCCGTCGCGTGGTGCTCACGGTAGATCGTCGTCCTTGAGCGGCATTTCGAATATCAAGCGTAATCAGAACTACGCGGCTAAAGCGGCGGCTCGGAGGCTGGCGCAGGTGATGGCTTCTCAGGCCACCGACAATGATGAGGATGAGGAGGACCTCGGGTACGGCGGCAATGACGGGGATCTAGGACTTCGATTCAATCCTCCGCTTCCGCTGTCTCTTTCAAGGCCGCCTGTTGGTAGCAACGGTGCTAATAAAGGTAGTGGTGCGGTAAAGCCTGTGGTTCCGTCTCCGAAGATTAACAGATCTTCATCTGATGCGGTAAGTTTATGTGGTTTTGGTTTTGTGGCTTTAATTTGAATGGATGTGGCTGTTCTTATGAAAAAGTGACGATATCTGCGTCAAATTATTTCAATGTGGTTGCGACAGATTCTGTGCTGCTAGTTTTGCGAAATAGGTTTATGAATTTTCAATGGGATTTGTGAAATTCATCAATTTTCTTTTTCAAGCGGGCTGCTGCTTGCATAAAATTGAGATTTATCTCTTCGATTGCCAGTTAGATACGTTTGAATTTCTTTGTCAGGTCTCCCGCAATTTATTGGATGGAATTCCACCACCTCGTTCTAGTTCAACGGGAAGACCATCGTTGTCCACTGGAACAACGCCCTCTGTGCCTCCTAGCAGGCCGCCATTTAAAGCTCCCGGACCTATTCCACCAATTGATCCCCCTAGCAGCAGGCAACGAGAAAAAAAGTATATGAAGTTCTACTTCTGATTTAATAATTCCATTTCTACAATCACATTAGCCCTCCAAACAAATTTTGGTTTGCTTGTTTGTCTTTATATGAGAATGATTTGGTATGCGTCAGTTGAAATAGTAATGACCTCTGGAATATGGTACATGAGTTATATTTGCCATGTCATACATCCTTCCGTGGATATTAGTCAGTTCGTGACGTCTATAAATTTGAACCGACTGCCGCCATTATATATATATTTTTCAATGATTTAGCTACTTGTATGGTCTCAAATTGCACATTGTGTCAGAGCTGAATTGACAGGGTACCAATGTGGAATGCAGGTTCCCATCGGATGCGGGACGTCTAACATCGAAAGATACAGGAGATGAACGAGCATCTTCTGCACTTTGTGATGAAGTATGTTGTCTCTATGTAGAACTTTTGGAAAGTGTTTGAATATAAATGATGCTGTTAAAATCTTAAATAGTTCTCTGAGTTCTATTTTTATTTCTGGAGAGGTATTATTTTTAGACACTTCTTAAGCTAACATCTACTTAATTTGGCAGCTTGAAATGCTACAGGAAGAAAATGATAATATTCTTGAAAAGGTGTTTTCCCATTATACACTGCATGACATTTCATTTCTACTCTTTGACTTGGCATCTATCCTTATTCTTGGTTTGCAATTCTGATCTTGCAGCTTCGACTTGCAGAGGATAGTTGTGAAGCAGCTGAAGCAAGAGTCAGGGAACTTGAGAAACAGGTCTTTCTGTTTTTTTATTTTTTTATTTTTTTATTTTTTATTTTTATTTTTTTTTTATTTATTTCCAAATACAAATTTATTTGACTATCGGTTCAATACTTTCTGTAGTTATACGAGTTTTTGGCTTATATCATACTTCAGCCTTTTTTTTATGACAATAATTCTTTTCGTGGCATGCTATCCTTAGTTTAGTGGAGCTTATTTACTTTGTTACTTTGACAACTTGTCTTTGTTAACCTAAATCATTAATAGCATCCTTGATCCTAGTATCCTATGCATCTATAGATGCAAAATCGTTTTATTCAGATAACAATTCCGCTGAATTATCACTATTATCTGTTGTTGCTCCACATGAAATGCACGCACATATATAAGTACATTTACATATCTTTCATTGTAAATTTTTTTTATGATTTTGCTTTGTCCACTAAATATTTCATCTTACAGTTTCAGTAACTCAAGTGGTAAACTCAATTGTATAAATCATTGAAGTGCTCCAAAATCTTGAATTTTGAAGCTGAAACCCAAGATGTTTGTTTTTGGATGGTGTTCTTGTCCTTGCAAAATATGCTTCAATTATATAAATGCTTTTTTGCTTCTTGAAATGCAGACCAAACTATTGGTCTCACAAAATTTGTTCATCATCTCTTACAGGCCATTTATACACTCTGGAACTTGACTTTTAAGTATCTGGCTAATGAGTTCTTTGACTTTATATGTTTGCTAAACTTCAGGTTGCATCGCTTGGAGAAGGAGTCTCTTTGGAAGCTAAACTTTTGAGCAGGTATACAAAGCACAAAGGTCTCTAATGTCTTCTTATTAGCTATCTGTCTAAGATCTCATAGGAATTCTTTGCAGGAAGGAAGCTGCATTGCGCCAAAGAGAGGTAAATCTTGTTTTCTTGTTTCTTGAGTGGATGTTGCTTGCATTCTTGAATTAGTTTGTTTCATCCTTCATGCTACAACCATAAAGATACTCAAGATTGGAAAATAATGGATTCAAATATTACAGTACTTGTAGCCTTCAGTTAGTCAATAGTATCGTAGATATATTTGTTCCTTTACCATTTTATTGTTTATTTGACAATTTGGTATAGGCTGCACTTAAAGAGGCTATGCATGCAAAAGATGATGTAGATGTCGAAGTGACTACATTGCAATCTGATATTAAGGTAAAATCAACTATGATGTGTTTAGAAGTACCTATAAGGGGATGGCACTTTATATCTGACATCTTGAATGTATAAGACTGCAAAAAATGAGGCTGCAACTGTTGTTGAGAGACTGCATGGAATTGAATCTGAAGTTAAAGCACTCCGCACAATGACACAAAGAATGGTGTTGACTCAACATGAAATGGTGGGTCAGCCACTGTTTTGTGAATTTCCCACTTAACATGGCCGTGTTTGTGTTTGCATTATATGCAATTGAGTTTCTGAGAAACTTATATTTGCAGGAAGAAGTTGTTCTTAAAAGATGCTGGCTTGCAAGATACTGGGGCTTAGCCCTCCAACTTGGTAATTAACAAAACCATTATATGTCATCACTGTGAGATGTACTAATTCATTCATCCTATGCACATAAAGCACAGGTGAACTAGAATTTATTGTTTCTGGTTTCACATCAAGTTCAACTGATAGAAATGAGTTGAAGAACATCATGATTCCTTCTTCTGCTTTGTATAGCCTGTCTAGGACCATCTTGTGTGTTGATGGTCTGTAAATAATGATCCTTTTAGGCTTTTACTAAAGGATACATTCTGGATGTGTACTTCCTTGAAGTAAAAAACCTCAAGTGCAAGCTGTTCAATGCTCTCTAGGTTTGGTTCAATTGAACATTGGCAATAAATTCAATCAAAAGAGAGTTATTCTTTCGGTGATTGTGAGTCAGTGACTTTACCTTACATGGTCATCCTATGGTTTAAACTGTGTGCATTCACATCTGTCATATTTAAATAAGGCAAACTGACTAATTCTATTTATTATTTTCAGTCTTTTTTTTCATCATAACTTGATAACTATATTTATCACAACTTAGGCATCTTTCCCGAAGTTTCTGTTTCAAAGTATGAATATTGGTCATCTTTGGCACCGCTCCCTCTCGAAGTTGTTTCATCTGCTGGCCAGAAAGCTAAGGAAGAGTATCATAAAAAAGGCTAGTTATCTGTTGCTTATTGTACAGAGGATTGAATCTGAACATTCTTTGTGCTCCACATTGTGCATCCAAAATGTAATACTGATCTTCTCCTTTGTCATTATGTAGGTTATAAGAATCCACTGATGGAGAAACTTGTCGAGGATTTCAATGATCTCTCAGGAGAAGGAACCATTGAAAGCATGCTGACAGTTGAAATTGGCTTAAAAGAACTTACTTTATTGAAGGTCTTATTTCAAAGATGTTAATTTCTATTTCAGTATTTATGTTTATAGCACCTTCTTGATTTCATATCTATTATACTAAGTCCCAATTATTTTCTTGTATTTTTATTTTGGGGGATTCACAAAAAAAAAAAAAAAAAAAAAGCCTATTTTATCAAGTGTTTTTTCTTTTTTTAATTTAATGATAGTACCTATTTTGACTGATGTTTTAAGCTTAAATTTCTTCTGCTCAAAATTTTTCAGTGCCAACACTCACCTAAACTATTTTCCAATGCCAAATGTGCCCTATCGATGACTCCTAATTCTTTGAGAGGAAATATATTTAAGATGCTGAAATTTACAACAGTTACGTAAACTACATCCTGAGTTAAATGAGAGCTATAATATTAGGATGAAAGTAGATTATGTACCACTGTTATTTATTGAATGAAGTATACATTGCTTTTCCTTTTGAAAGCTGCTGAAGCTTCGTGCTATTCCATGCACTTGTTTATGGCTTAATTTAGTTGATTAGAAAGATGGTTTGATTTTTTTTTTTTTTTTCCTTAGGTTGAAGAATCTATTGTTCTTGCATTTGCTCAGCATAGACGCCCAAGCTCAACTAGGACATCAACACAAGGTTTTCTCTACCACCTTTCAGCTGCAGTGTTCTGCAGTTGCAGCATGATTATTGAGTCTATGATTTTCTTTGCTGCTTTATCTATCTCTTAACTTCATAGACTTTTGGTTAAATTCATGGATCTTTATTTGGAATATTGTGATCAAATGATTGTTTGAATTGTTTATATATTCCTGGAGTGATGCTTTGAACCAGGTCCCCTACTATATTTTCTATTTGCTACTGGCCTTCTTAACCTTGCGAAGCATATGATTCCTCAGTGTGTATGACTATCTGCATTGTTCCTTTTTTGGTAGATATCAAGTCATCAATTGATCCAAAGTATATGGAAGCATTTGGTAAGTCCTACCAGTCCATTATTGTTCATTTTCAACAGGCTGTTAGCCATTAGTGTTCAGTTTTTATGCAGTTTATTATTTCAAGTTTGTTAAAAGTTAATCATTTTGCATAGGGTAATGCCTTAAAATTTTTCCCTAGCAACAAATTTCTTATAATTATGTTGGCCCGCACTCATGATATAGTTTTTGATTTTGTTTTCTCCGCAACTCTATTGAGGTCCTTTCAAATCTTACTCGTTTTAATTCCTGTCATTCCGAATTGTTGGCTGCTCTGATAGATAATTTCGTAGTTTTCCTCTTTTAATTTCTACTGCTTTCACATCCATTTTATTGACCTTATTCTCACATGGTTATCTCATTCTCAAGAAAAAAGTACATGTTGAAATCATTTTATTTTCATTTCTTTGCAGATCTTAGCCCGGAGGAATCTGAGGATGTTCTCTTCAAGCAGGTTTGTACATCTGCCTCAGCCATTTGGGCGTCCGCACAAATTTTCTTGTAAATAATGCATTCTTAGAAACACAGGCGCCGGGCAGCCATGAATACAAGCACCTAGTTCTTGTAAATAAACGTGAAAGTATGATTTTGCATATGATACCATATCAATATGGAAGCTACAAACAATCAGAACACAAGCCTACAGACTAAGATGATTCTGTTTACTAAAAAATTATTGCAGTTAAATTTTGGAAACTATTTTTCAAAAATGTTTCTGGACTTGTGTTTCTCTGTGCTGTTTGAACGATGTCCTGCTATGCCCATCACACTGATAGTAATCACATGAAATAGGCATGGCTTACTTATTTTTGGACAAGAGCTAAAGCGTACGGCATCGAGGAGGAAATAGCCAATGAGAGGCTGAAACATTGGATCGACCGTTATGGCCAGTTCCCAACTTCACATGATGCTATTGATGGTGAGTTGATGCTCGCTTGCTAACTTTTGTCGACTATCTGTTTCCTACACTTTTTCTATCCTAAATTAAGTTTGATGTGATATTCCGGATTTGTTCAAACTGCAGATTATCTATATATGAGATGCAATAAACTTTTAAGCTTGATATAAATTTTCTGAAAGGTTGAATATTTCCATTTTCAAGCATGAAGTATCTGATCTTATTCTATTCTCCAGTCGAACAAGGGTTAATGGAGCTTCGAAAATTGGAAATTGAACGACAACTCTGGGAAGCATCCCGGCAAGAAACTGATCAAATTGCTTCTGTTGAGGGATGAAAATTCAGTACAAAATAGCGGCTGCAGTTCTCATGGTATTTACCAGACACTTTTTACCTTAGTTGATAGTATATGATAGCTTCTGCTACGCAAGTTTTCATCAATTTTTTTCTTTTATAATGTGTTTTTTACTGTGTTACTCTCTCTTAAGAATCTCCGAGGACGAGCATTCGTTCTTTTCTCGTGTAAATATATACATTGAGCAACATCTAAACTGAGTAAAATCTTGATGTGTCCACCATGGTGATCAGTAAATGAATGCATTGGTGTGTAATTTTAAGTCCAGACGCTCTAAGATGCTTATTTATTTATTTAAGAGAGGACTTAATTAGTTGAATATAGTGTTAGAAATATGCAATGAAGGCAATGTTGGTTGGTTGTAATATGTGTAAGAAGGAAGACATGAAAAGCAAAAAGGTAGCTTTTAGGAATGGTGAAGAACAAACAGGAATATGGAAAAAGGGTAAAGGCTTTTGTCAGTATTCCTGTGGAAGCTTGTATTTTATTGTATTGTATTGTATTGTATTTGTACGTATGTATTCTGTGTTTGTGTATAAAAATATTCTTACACACTCACTAGCTATAAATATTTAAGGTGAATCAGTTATATATATATATATATATATATGCAGTTGGTCTCATCACGCACGCGTCATGTGGGCTTCTCTCTCGCATGCGTTGGTGCTACTGCTACTGCTACTGCTACATTTGTTTGTATTATTATTATTATTATTATTTATCTATTCATTCCTTCCTTCCACTATTATTTTTATTATATATTTTATGATATTCATTACATGTGTGTGTCCCATGATGGACCTGATTGAGGCTATAAGGATGTGGTGGTGGTAGTAGTGGGTAGGCAAAAATATATATATGCAAAATAAAATAATGCATGCGAATGAATCACCAACTCTATGTGTAAAGTATATCCTATGTGAAATTATAGATTTAAATTTAAATCAATTTCTATGATGCCTCTTAGTATTGTTTACCATATAGAATTTACTTAGAATGATTTATCTTGTTAATGTACTTTATATATTACTCCCTTTATCTCGTATTTATATATTAATTTGCTTTATCGGCGAAGTTTGAGAGATATTAGTATTATATTGGAATAAGGTAGAAATAAAGATAAAAAGTAAATTAATTATATATAGGTAACGATATTTGTGAAATATATTGTAAATTAGAAGGGTATTTGTAATGTTAGGTAGATTGCACAATTATTAAAAAAAAGAAATTGATACTTTGTTATGGACTGACCAAAATAGAAAAATAGATAGATTGTTAAGGGATGCAGTGAGTATTATGTTTCGTCTGGAGTCTATTCCATTCTTTTTTTTTTTTTCTGTTATAAAAAATAAGTTTATTTCTTCTATTTTTTTAAGTATAAAATCATACATTTTTTATTATTTTTAATTATTTATTCTACTTTTTTTTTGCTATAAAAGATTAAAAAAAAAAATTACACATCATATTAAAATTCATGTCCATATCAAAAAAACAAAATTGAGTTTGTTTGTTTTGTATTTTGGTTTAAAGGAAAAAAAAGTTTATATGAAGTATATGAAAGTGTACATGTAATATAAAAATAATGAGTGTAATATACTAATTTTTTGAGAAAATATGATGGATAATTTTGACAAAAAGAACATACAAGGAGTATAAAATAGTGGTTTAAATATTGCCAATGTCTTTTTGGTCAGGTTTGCTTTGTAGGGTTTGTACAAATTTGTTTTTTGTTTATTTAATGTACACTCAAAGAAAGAATACCGAATTGCAAGTTTCTGTTTATAAAATAGTAGTATATAATATATATATATATATATAAAGAAAATTCATATGGTAGAATAATACAATGATTTACTAAATTTTGGTGTAAATTAAATAACACTTTTTGTTTTGGACCACACATACGATATTTTGTACATGGGAGTATTATATAATTTACCCAAATTTTGTCCGGAGTTATTGATGGGGTTTAATTAATTATGTGTTTATATTATGGTCTATTGTTAAATTTATAGTAGCTTGATTTTAAATTACTTTTAAATCTGTATATTTTTTTTATTAAATATATAAAAATTTAACAAAAATATTATATTAAAATTCAAATAAAAATAAAAATAAAAAGTAAACAAACAATTACATCCTATTTATTGATGTTGAATGGAATAATGCAAGTTGGGGTTGTTTTGAATTGGATTGATGTGTAGTGTAATTGAACAAGTGAGCACTTTTTAACACTTGTGTTTAGTTAAATGCCCATTCTTTTCCTTGGTTTCCGCAATTCATTATTAATTAATTTAATTAATATCCATCAACTAACACAATTTATAAATAAATAAATTAAATTAAATTAAATTTATGCAAATTCACAGACATATGCTTCTTTTGTCTGTATTCTTCTACTCATATATAGTACTTATTATGGTGCCTTATCCTCTTTAGCTTATGTTAGTGTTTTAAATTTGAATTACTTCAATTAAAAATAGAATTTTTTTTATATAATAATTTAAGTTTAAATGAATGAATAGATAAATATATATATATAAGTAAACTAAAACTATTATTATGATTATATTCTTTTCAATATTACAAAAATATTTGTTGTCTCGTTGAATACTATTTTATAATGGTTTATTGCATCAAACAAAATTTGCAACATCTCTATTATCAAGCGGGATACTATGTTGAAAATTCTAATTCAGCATGACTGAATTTAATCATGACCCTTAATTATTAGATTATTTATTTAATTATAAAGATTAAATTTAAGATTAGAGATGAGGATTAATTTCAGCTTATGCTGATTTCATTTTCAAATCAGAATAAATATATCAAATTTTCTTTTAATATTTTAATTTGTTTCTTTGGCATTTATTCCGCATGTGTTGTGATACTTTGTAAGAATTTATTCTTATATATATATAATATCAAATTTAAATTACTATTCAAAATCAAACTTTAAAAGAATATACTCATGATTATTGAAAATATTTCAAAATAGTTAAAAATAGATATTTAATGAGATGTTATAAAATAATTTTTTATGTAATATTTTATATAAAAATATATATTTAATGTGATTTTTTTTTTGAAATACACTATTATATATGAATAATTATAAAAATATCCAAAATTTAAATTTAAAACGGACTCTAAACCCTAAAATCGTTCTACAATCACATCAAAAACCTCAAAGTATACAATAATTTTTTACTAGAGAATTTAAACATTTAGGGTTTGTATATGTATAACTGGTTAATTTTTGTATAATAATAGGTTAATATAGTGTTTTATAGAAAAAAATGATATATATACATAATTTTTTTTTCTTTTTAATTAGAAAGTAATATATAAAAACATATTGAAAATTGTGGAAATTTAAGACAAACACAATCTTGTAGTAGTTGAATTTGGATCTATACAAGCTTTATAAACACATCAAAGGTCATTAACTTTGCTCAATTAAGTAAACAAAAAGAGGGAATTAATAATAAACAAATGTAAGAAGCATGACAACCATATGATACACACACATAATGGCTGTCCCAATCTTGCAATTCAAGGCTAAATTTGAGGAGGCACATTTTCCAACTACCCCTTTTTATCAATTTTTATTTTTATTTTTATTTTTCTTCATATAATCTTCATCATACACCTTTCAACCAAATGATGACAATCAATTGTAGTGAAGTGCAATAGAAGATAGCCACTTAAACAAGAGATCTTTCTATTGTAATAAGTACTTGTTGCTCTTCTAGAAAAAGAAAAAAAAAAATTAAATTCACTTTAATCTTAATCATATTGTTTTGAAAATCATTCTCTATCCACAAGTTAATTTGTCACACACCACACTCTTAATGGTGCAATGTGGGGTTAGTAGTTTATATTATTCACTATAATGGTCAAAAGCTAATCTTGAAATTATGAGAAAAAGAATTCCTTTACTTTTATTATTATTATATATATATATATATTTTTTTTTTCAAGAAATGGAAGAAATTAATCATACATTCAAAGGTAGGTTTTAATTTCTTACTCATCTTCCTTTCAAATTTATGGTCATATTTATAGATACTTTGGAAGTTTCAATACTATTCATCTAACTATAATTTTTTTTTTCAAGAAAAATATATTCGATCAAACAAATATTTTCTCTTGTATTTTCTTTGATCTTACAAAAGGGTTCTCTAATTTTCTTTTTATTTATCATTATTTTAATTAATTAAAACTTGGACACCATTTCCATCTTCCCACTATTGATTAGAACTGCAAATGGATTATGAGTGTAGGGCAGCTCTAATGGAAGCCATTGCTCTTAATCTGTAAAAATGCAATCTTCTTGTCTCCCAGCTCTAAAATAAAGGCAATGGGCCATTCACTTTTTTTGCATTTACAATTGAAAATTTCACATATGATCAAATAGTAAACAGTACAAATTCATGATCATATATGTATATGTGAATTCAGTGATGCTGTTAGTGAAAAGTACTAATGTAATAAAGAGTGTAATTCCACTTTTCCATATTTGTTGTATCAATGTCATCAATTTTGTCCAATGGGGTTAAAATAAAAAGGTGAAATGCAACCACTCTTCTACACTATACACTAACTGTACAAGAAAAATAAAAAGAACATCTAACCATTGCTTTCTTGGCTTCCAATTCAACATTCAAAATGAAACCCTTTTTTGGTGATACAGATTAGACTTATGGGAAAAAAGAGATAGATATAGATATATATATATATATATAGAGAGAGAGAGAGAGAGAGAGAGAGAGAAAGAATATCCAGTTTGATAATAAGCAAGAAGATGAAGGAGAAACAAGGGCAGGTCCAAAATTCCCTGCAAAATACTTGTGAAAGGCAGATTTGATTTTTCCAAAGCACTTCTCTGTCAAACAAAGACAAGCAATGAAAAGATATTATTCTCTCTACACTTGAGAGAAAGCAACAAATGAAGGGCTTTTTTCTCTTTCTTGGGAGCAATGATCTTGTTTCATAACCCCCACCCCTCCACCCCCTTTCTTCTTCAATGGAATTATTACCACCTAGCTGTCAAATGCCCCCATTTTCATTTCTATGCAGAAAAAAGGTCCTTTCTTGAAGAACAGAACTTTATGGGCCAGTTAAGTTGTGTGTGTTCCTTCTTCTTGTCACTGTGCATATGGAAAAGGGGGACTACAATTGCATTTCCATTTCCATTTCCATTTGCAAGAAACACAACCCATTTTTCCAATTTTTAAAAATTTCATTTTTGGAGAATGAACTTGACCCTTCTCTTCCATTCCCATTCTTGCATCACCATCACTTCCATTCACAAACATCCCTAAAAACGACAAGAAATTTCCCACAATAATGACAACAAAAGACCACAAAATGGTCCCCTTCTCCTCATCTCCTGCCTCCCTTTATATTCACCTCTCCCCCTCTCTCTCTCATCCCTCCATATTTACTTCCCTTCTCACCCCACTTTCTTGAAAAAAAAAAAAAAAACTTCTTCCATGGAAAAGCCCATTGTAAAGATCCTATCTTTAGCTTTAACATTAGCCTTTTTCACCCAAGAATGTCTTTCCACCAAGTGCAAGAATCAATCTTTCCCTTCTTCTCCTTCTCCTTCTTCTTCTGCTGACAGAATTCTTCGATTGCCAGGGCAGCCATTAGTGAGTTTCCAGCAGTTTTCTGGCTATGTCTTTGTTGGCCATGGAAGAGCTCTTTTTTACTATTTTGTTGAAGCTGAAGTTGATCCCACTTCGAAACCTCTTGTTCTTTGGTTAAATGGAGGTCTAATTTCTTCCCACATTCATCTCCTCCATACATACAAACATACATTCATAAAGATCACTTTTTTGACATTTTTCTTGCAGGGCCTGGTTGTTCATCTTTGGGTGTTGGTGCATTTTCTGAAAATGGTCCTTTTAGACCGAGAGGAAATGATCTTGCCAGTAATGAATACAGCTGGAACAGAGGTCTTGTTTCTGCCCCACATTTTTTAAGCTTTCAGAAATTTGTTACTGTCTGTCATTTACCGTGGTTTCTGTTCTTGATCCAATTTGCAGAAGCTAATGTTCTTTATCTTGAATCTCCCATCGGAGTGGGCTTTTCCTTTTCTTCAAACTCCTCCTCTTATGATGGTGTCGATGACAAGATCACAGGCATGCCCCTCATTTTCATTTCCAGCAAAAAATTAAAATAAATTCGAAAGACTACATTTTTTACCTTTTCCCCATATTGGGAAGTGCAAAAAGAGTTTAAATCATCAAGGTTTTTAGTATCATCTTTTTCTTTACCCTTCATTTTCTCCAATTGTTTATTATTATTATTATTATTATTGAATTTTAATCAACAGCTAGAGACAACCTGGTTTTTTTGCAAAACTGGTTCAAAAAATTCCCTCAGTACAAAGACAGAAACTTGTACATTACAGGAGAAAGCTATGCTGGTGTGTGTTCTTCATTCATTAAAATAAATCATTTTTAGAACAATTTTGCAATTGGGATTCTTGTTTTGAACGTTGATTTTCGATCTTTTTAGGTCATTACATTCCCCAATTGGCAGAATTGATGATCAAGTTCAACCAGAAGCGTAGGCTTTTCAACTTGAAAGGAATTGCAGTGAGTTGATTTTCCTTTTTGTAAGAATTGTGGCGATTTATACGTTGTTATTAACAGTTTTGTAATAAATGCGTCCGCAGCTCGGCAACCCGGTGTTAGAATTCGCGACGGATTTCAACTCGAGGGCCGAGTTTTTTTGGTCGCACGGACTCATATCGGATCCGACGTACGGCGTGTTCACTACAGCCTGTAATTATTCGCGTTACGTCGTCGAATATTACCGGGGGGAGCTGTCGTCCATGTGTTCAAGAGTTATGAGCCTCGTAACGACGGAGACGAGCAAGTTTGTCGACAAATATGATGTTACGCTCGACGTCTGTATTTCTTCGGTGCTGTCGCAGTCGAAAGTTCTTGCTCCTCAGCATGTCCCCGAGAACGTAGACGTCTGCGTCGAGGACGAAACCGTGAATTACCTAAACCGCCGCGACGTTCAAAAGGCCCTCCATGCACGCCTCGTCGGAGTCGACCGGTGGCTCGTCTGCAGCAAGTAAATAACTCGTCACTAAAACATCGATCGATCGACAAACACGTATCTTTTCTAACGGTATCGATATCTTATATGAACAGCGTATTGAACTACGAACTGCTCGACGTCGAGATCCCTACAATCAATGTCGTGGGTCGAATAGTCGAGGCCGGAATCCCGGTCCTGGTATACAGGTATAATTCACGTCGCGCCACCGTATTCGATATACTTACCTGTTCGTCGTCAACGGTAAACTAATGGACATTTTTATCGAACGGCAGCGGCGATCAAGATTCGGTAATACCATTAACGGGGAGCCGGAAACTGGTCCATCGACTGGCGAAGGAGATGAAGCTGAAGACGAGCACGCCGTACCGAGTCTGGTTCGCCGGAATGCAGGTCGGCGGGTGGACTCAGGTGTACGGCGACGTTCTTTCTTTCGCGACTATTCGTGGGGCGTCGCACGAAGCTCCGTTTTCGCAGCCGGAGCGATCGCTGGTGCTATTCAAGGCATTTCTCGAAGGCAGGCCGTTGCCAGAAGAATTTTGAGCCACCGGAAAAAGATCGACGAAATCAAAGAGCTAACTGTAAGTAGATTTCTCAGAGATGGAATCAGTTTTTTTGTATAAAAAGGAAACCTGTTTCGGCAATGATCGAATACCATGGCTCTTTCTAATGTACATTGTTGTATCTCGGACGAACACGAAACGAACAATCGTAATTAGAACACGAAACAGTCGCAAACTCAACGAAAAGGATTAAGCCGTGGAAATGATAGAAAGAAACCGTGTTTTTTCTACTGTGCAACGATGGAAGGAGCCTCGACGGTCATTTTCAGACGATTGAACTTGAGGGCCAAGATTGGCTTGGATAGCATGATCGATATGCAATGGTTCCTTTCATCCTTGTCGTTGTCTGCTTCAGACGGTCCCATAACTTTAGCCGGTGGAACTACGCGCAACCTGGAGGGATTAACGAACGAATTAACGGAAGTTTCGAAACCCAACACGATCGATCGGATAGAAATAAAATATTTAGAAGCGGACCTGCATTCGATCTTGCAGGAGTACTTTAGGAGGTGCGGATTATATTCCGTTCGACCACTGCGTATCGAGAAAAAAAAAATGAACACTTTGATCGATGATAACACTTAGAACTTTAACTATAGGACTGACCTAAAGCTCGGGAGACAGAGTTTGAGAGAAGGGCCGATCCATTTTTTAGCGTCGTTTTTGGGCGCTTCCATTGCTTTCCGAAGAACAAAGTATAAATTATCGAGATAATATCGAAGTGAATTGTCGAAAAATGGAAAGCTTACTGACCAGCTGCGGGGAGATTAATACTACAGATATCCATGGCTGTGCGACTGCCATCCTTCGTCTCTTTCACTTGTATATCCATCGAATTCTTCACATTAACCTCAGAACCTCTCATGCCTATCTTGCTCAAAAAGCTACAAAATCGACTTCTTTTTTTATCTGTTGCTGGAATCGCTGCGATCCTCTGGTTTGGCATGAATCAAGTCATCTTTAACAGAAACGATTCAGCGACAGAATACGATGATATGATGTAAGGACGTAATATGTATTATATAATCACCTTTGTAAAATTGGCAAATTGACTCGGAAGCCCGACATCCTGCAAGAGCACTTTATTACAAACGATGAAAAAATATATGTTCAAGCCGACAATCCGAAAGCTACCTTTCGTCCATGTACGCACGCCTTTTCACTGTTCACCAACACTCTTGCAGCCCATCTATAGCCAAAGATTTTGTTCCAAATTGTCAAAATAAATGCGAAAAAAAAAAAAAAAAAAAAAAAAAGCTACCCGAATTTTTGGTACAAGCTATGATTTTTCTTGACAAAAAGTACATATGCATCACCGAGCAAGCTAAACATAAGATCGAATTTTAACAAAAATTTGGCATTAAATTGAGTTCATCAACAGAATACTTACGCACAGGATGTAGGTGGATTCCAGACGATCCCTGCAATGATCACAAGCTGGAAAGATACCGAAAAAAGATTTAAGTAACGGATAGTAAACTTTTGAATTTTCAGAAATCACACAAAATAAAATAAGACGAATGAATAAAACCTCATCAAATATTCCAGCTGGGCTGTCCTCATAATTGGCGAGAAAGAATCCTCCGAGAGTATACCTTACGGAGAACAACACCAACTTGTATAGAACAAAGAGAACGAAGATCTACACCGATGCATACCCCCTACACTATTTGCTAAATAATTAAACTTAAAAATTAATATCAAAAAAACTGATCCATACCCAAATGCTTCCACTAATTTGAATTCTTTCGGGATGAAAGCTCGAGCAGTCTCTGTCTTAACAAGATGAAGCTGGTACAACGCACTGCGATGTCAAGAAAAAAAGCTTAACACAAATCTTAGAACAATTAGGCTAAGAAATGCAAATACGGCGAATAAATGCTTCACCCAAAACGATTCTTGCCTGCCTTTGAACATCCATGGAGGTTTTCCATAATCCAACGATGACTTTGTTTCTGAACCTTCCATCGTTACAGGCTGCATCTACTCTGGCAGAAACGGATACGTTAAATCAAAACTACTCAAAAAATTCATCTAAATCGCCATCTTCTACAGTCCCATGCATCAACAAACAGCATGTTTTCGAGGAAGGCTAGCAGACAAACTAATGCAAGTTGGGATTCTTATATTTTATTCGGCGACAAAAAAAAACTATCATCAGCAAACATCATAGAAAAATGATTGTGCACGCTGTATTACCAGACCATAGTTTTCCAAGGCTTTTGCAACTTGCACAAGTGGAAATAATTATGTTCTATCCTCTATTAAAATATAGCATTGAAATCGATTAAATTGGTTGACCTACACTAAAAAATACCACTATTTCGTCCCGAGGAATGAAACTAAAGAACATTTGTCATCATAACAAAGAATCGAAGAAAAAACATTAACACATATGCATCCTAACTTACAAAAAAGAAGCTTGCATCATGTAGTAGCCTTTCCAAAGAACAAAGAGAATAAAAATGGTATCGCATTATTATAAGAACAACAGCAACCCTACCTATGCCCGTTTCACCTCCACCGACTACCAATGATAGGTTTAACCAAATTTTCATAGATTACATCTTCCATGAAAGCTCTAGAAATGCTAACAACAAAGAAAACAACCAATGCTCGACAAACCAACCCTTTAGTTCAATAAAGCTAAGGATACTCGCGAAAACTGCTAGGTAGTCGAAGAAGGGACTCTCCATATATTCCACTTCTAAACTGCATTACTTGAAACCTATAAAAGCTTGTTTGTTTTCTGCATAATTTACTTTTCTAACATCCATAGGTACTGCAACTTAGCTCTGTTTCTCATATATACATGAAACTCAAGAAAACACAAATCTTAGGGGTTACTTAATTTGGTTTATTTGGACTAAATCTATTGAAATGAGCTTTCTGGATTAGTGCCAAAAAATTTGGGGTTGAACAAATAGAGGAGGCTACTGATTCCTGCAACTCAAAGATTCAATTCAACAGTTTGTAAATCTTGAATGAATCAAACAATGCCAGGCATCGAAAATATCAAAAATTGAAAATATCAGTGTGGATGATGGGAATTCAAAACACAAACGAATTGAAGAACAGATACTGCAACCCGAAATTTAAAAAATCCCCAATTTTTTTTTTAAAAAAATACAGCCTATTACCTCCAAATCCTCTCCCAAATTCCTAGTTCAGAATCACTGCGTTTGCTCGAAACCCTAGAGCTATTTCCTGCGTATAATCAACCGAAAACAAGGGGGAAGAATGGAAGAACAGCCAGAAAGGATAAGGGGAAGAAATGGGCCGACGGAGAATTGGAAATTAAATTCTTCGCAGCTCCGGGAACTTACAAATATCGACACATCCGCACCGTTCATCTCGCAAAACGATCGGCATAGATCAATCTGGAACTCTGATCCATGGAACTTGTACCGAAGAAGAAAGCTTTTGTGAAAAGGATGACGTCAACCACAAAGTGGATAATCTGAAAACCCAAAAGCTATTTATTTATTTGTTTATTTTTAAAGGCATAATTCAGTACATCGGAAAGTACTTCTCTCAAGTGTTCGTTGTCTGTAGTGTCGGGTCGTCCCCACAATTTCCTATCTCCTATTTCTTCTCCATTGTCGGTTCGATTTGGGCAATCAAAACCAGAACCCTAATCGCCAGTGGGTATCATCATCGAAAGAATGCTACACAGTATGATCGATCGACGACGATGACGATGAGGATCGACTGTGTCCGAATCTGAAATGTTAGAAAATGATCCATCTTTCACCCAATATGCTGGGATTGAGCATCAAAAAGGGTCCCACAAGATGACATTTTTTAACTGAAAAGAATTTGTGGGAACGAAGATGAAGATTCGGCTTCGGCTTATTCGATCAAGAAAAGTACACTTTGGGTGGCAAACATGTCCGTTAAATTTATTTAATACCTATATTTAAAAATAAAAATAAAAAATAAAAAATCAACATTTAACTGTAACATTATATTCAACAATTATCTAGAACAAGTGCCATTAATATTATTATATTTTTATTTTTTTAATTATTAATTAAATTTTAAAATATCATAAACTGCCTTTATATTTTTTTAAACGAATATCCAACAATTTGTATAAAATAACTTTTTTTCAGAAGAGTTTTGTTGAAACGTGACTTGGATTTAGCGGTCTACCCGACCCTAAACCAAAGCGAAAGGGCTGTTTCAATTGGCAGGGTTCCTTTTGGGCTTATCCTAATTAATAACAAATAGGCTTAGGGTTTAGGGTGTTTTGGGGTGCTTATAAATAGACAACTATGGTTCTTAGTCGGACGACACATTGTAAATCTCTGAATCAGTATAATAAAATCTCTCCGGTTCCTGCCCGTGGACGTAGGTTGACACACCGTCACCGAACCACGTAAAACCTCTGTGTTCTTTATTTGCTTTCTTTCTCGTTTTCTCATAACAAGTGGTATCAGAGCCATATCCAATTGATTGAAGATGTCCTCGTATAAGTTTGATCTGGAGAAGTTTAATGGGTCGAATGACTTCACGCTCTGGAAGGTCAAGATGAGGGCACTTCTGGTTCAACAAGGATGTGCGGCTGCGTTGGAGGGAGAAGACAAGTTTCCTAAAGACACGAAGGAGGAGGTAAATAAGGAGATTTTGGCAAGGGCTCATTCCGCGATCTTGCTGTCAGTTACTGATGAGGTGTTACGGGAGGTTGTAGATCAGACAACGGCTTTTGGGTTATGGAATAAACTGTGTGAGAAGTACCAAAACAACTCTCTCACGAACAGGCTATATCAGAAGCAACGTCTTTACACCCTCCGGATGTCCGAAAGTACTCAGGTAAAGGATCATCTTGATACCTTTAACCGTATCATTCTTGATCTTCAAGGAGTTGAGGTTAAAGTAGATGATGAAGACCAAGCCCTAATTTTATTGTGTTCACTACCTGGTTCATATGAGAATTTTGTAGATACTATGCTATATGGTAGAACTACAATTTCTGTTAATGATGTGAAAGATGCCCTTATGTCCAAAGAATTGAAAAGAAAGGTTTCTCTGGAAGAGGGTTCTGGTTCAGGTCTGTTTGCAGGTAGGGGAAGACCACATGAGAGGGGTAGCGGGAATGGGAGGTCGCGTTCAAAATCAAAATTAAGTGTTATCTTTGCAAGGAGAAAGGGCACGTTAAAAGGGATTGTCCACAAAAGAAGGGAAATACAAAAGTTGATTCTAGTAACAGTGGCAGCAGTGCTGCTGTGGTAAAGACAGTTCTGATGATGGGGACTTTGGTGAAGTTCTGACAGCGTGTAGTGCTAGTACTGCTGATTCCTGGATTATGGACACCGGTGCTTCTCACCATATGACGTTCTCTCGTGATCTACTCACTTCTTTTAAGGAGTGGAATGGAACGGTGAAGTTAGGTGATGATGGGGTTCTAGCCATAAAAGGGAGCGGGGTAGTGCAGATAAAATTGCATGACGGTACTGTCAGGAAATTTGACTGTTGGTATGTTCCTGAACTCAGAAAGAATTTGATTTCTCTTGGGACCTTAGCCAAGAATGGTTTAAAATATCATGGTGAAGGTGAGTGGGTGAAAGTCCTGAAAGGTGCGCTGGTAATGATGAAGGGAAAACTGCAGCATGGAATTTATTTTCTACAGGGCAGTTCAGTGATGGGAACGGCGGCGGTATCTCAGTCCTTGGATAAACATGATGACAGGACAAATTTGTGGCACCGGCGATTAGGTCACATGAGTGAGCTAGGGTTGTCTGTCTTGAGCAAGCAGGGTTTATTTGGTGGGGATGTGATAGGTAAAATTCAATTCTGTGAGGCTTGTGTAAAAGGGAAGCAACGCAGGGTGAGGTTTAGTACCGGTCATCACACTTCAAAAGAAATTCTGGAGTATGTTCATTCAGATCTATGGGGTCCCTCTCCGGTGAAATCGCAGGGCGGATGTTCTTACTTTGTCACTTTCATAGATGATTATTCGAGAAAAGTCTGGTTGTACTTTCTAAAGACTAAAGATGAGGTGTTTGGGAAGTTCAAGGAGTGGAAGACCATGGTTGAAAAACGGACGGGTAAACAGGTCAAGACTCTAAGAACTGATAATGGGTTGGAGTTCTGCAACGCTCCATTTGATGATTTCTGCAAGAAAGAAGGTATAGTGAGGCACCGCACTGTACGACACACACCACAGCAAAATGGAGTTGCAGAGCGAATGAATCAAACCCTCATGGCGCGTGCTAGGTGTATGCGCATATTTGCTGGCTTCTCTAAGCAATTCTGGGCTGAAGCAGTAAACACTGCTAGCTATCTGGTTAATAGATCTCCATCAACTGCAATTGACTTAAAGACTCCTCAAGAGGTATGGTCCGGTAAACCCTCTGATTACTCTAATCTAAGAATATTTGGATGCCCTGCACACGCTCATGTGAATGATGGTAAGCTGGAGCCGAGGGCGGTAAAATGCATATTTCTAGGGTATGCAACAGGAGTAAAAGGTTATCGACTGTGGTGTACAGAAGGTAAAAATCCTGGTAAATTTCTTATTAGCAGAGATGTAACCTTTGATGAATCTGCTATGCTTGATCAGAGTAGAGGTTGTGAAAGTATTGCAGGTACAAAAGATTGTGGTGCTAACCAGAAGGTGGAGTTTGAGACTCTTGACAGAGTTGTGTTAGAGGAAAAGCAGCAGGATAATACTACTGATCAATCCGATCAACCAGATCAGTCAAAACCTCAAGGGAAACCGGTTGAGGGGGAAGCTGATGACGCTGGTACGGGGGTTGAAGATTCCATAGCAGCAAGAAAGGGAAAGAGAAATATTCAGAAACCAGCTAGGTTTGCAGGATGTGTCAATACGTGTGACATGGATTCTGTTGCTTATGCACTAGCGGTTGGTGATGATCTTGGCTCTGATGAGCCAAAGACATATAAAGAAGCTGTGGCGAGTAAAGATGCAGAAACCTGGATTATGGCAATGAATGAAGAGATGCAGTCTCTTGAAAAGAACAAGACTTGGGATCTTGTTGCACTACCAAAATGGATGAAGCCAGTGGGATGCAAGTGGGTCTTTAAAAGAAAGGAGGGAATTCCTGGTGTTGAACCTGCTAGGTTCAAGGCGAGACTGGTGGCAAAAGGGTTTTCACAGAAGGAAGGAATCGATTACCATGAAGTCTTTTCTCCTGTGGTGAAACACAAAACCATTCGGGTTCTTTTGGCAATGGTGGGTGCTTTTGATCTGGAGCTGGAGCAGCTTGATGTAAAAACAGCATTCCTTCATGGTAATCTAGAAGAACAGATTTACATGTCTCAACCGGAGGGGTTCTACAGTTCTAAAGGGGACCAGGTATGCTTGTTAAAGAAATCTCTGTATGGCTTGAAGCAGTCTCCGAGGCAATGGTACAAGAGATTTGACTCATTCATGGTGTCTAATGGTTATACTCGTAATCAGTTTGATAACTGTGTTTACTCGAAGAAAGTTTCTACTGATTCCTTTGTGTATCTGCTGTTGTATGTGGATGATATGTTAATTGCAGCTAAAAATATGGCTGTAATTAATGACTTGAAGGCTCTACTAAAGGGTGAGTTTGAGATGAAGGATTTGGGTGCGGCAAAGAAAATACTTGGTATGGAGATCTGGCGTGATAGAGAAGCAAGACGGTTGTGGGTTTCTCAAGAAAAGTATATTGAGAAAGTTTTGCAGGCATTCTCTGTTGATCAGTCCAAACCGGTAAGTACCCCTTTGGCGGCACACTTTAAACTTGATCGAAGCACTATACCGGCTACAGATGAAGAGGTTAATTATATGAAGACGGTTCCATATTCAAGTGCAGTTGGAAGTCTTATGTATGCGATGGTATGTACGAGACCGGATCTCGCTTATGCGGTTAGTGTGGTGAGCAGGTTTATGGCTAATCCGGGTAAAGCTCACTGGGGAGCTGTAAAGTGGATCTTGCGATATTTGAAAGGAGCGTCTGATATTTGTCTGGTATATGATGATAAAGGCCATGGTGATGGTCTTGTTGGCTATGCAGACTCTGATTACGGGGGTGACTTGGTGAAACGAAGATCACTAACTTGTTTTATCTTCACTCTGTTTGGATGTGCAGTCAGTTAGAAGTCTACTTTACAACCTACGGTTGCATTGTCGACGACTGAGGCGGAATACATGTCAATGACTGAAGGTATTAAGGAGGGTATCTGGTTATATGGTCTGGTACAGAGTTTGGGTCTGAAGGTGAAAAAACCGGTGTTATTCTGTGATAGTCAAAGTGCTTTGAGTTTGGCTAAAAATCCAGTGTATCATGAGAGAACCAAACATATTGATGTAAGGTTGAATTTTATCCGTGATGTTATGGAGGAAGACAAGTTTTATATTCAGAAAATAGCTACAGAACACAATCCAGCTGATATGTTGACAAAGGCGCTACCGACGGAGAAGTTTGAGCACTGCTTGAACTTGGTGAATATTCGTAGTAGGTAAAGCCCTCTCGGGGCATCTGGCAGGAAGGAGACGACTGAGAGATACTGACGAACATTTGGCGGTTGGAGAAACTCCAAGTCAAGGTGGAGATTGTTGAAACGTGACTTGGATTTAGCGGTCTACCCGACCCTAAACCAAAGCGAAAGGGCTGTTTCAATTGGCAGGGTTCCTTTTGGGCTTATCCTAATTAATAACAAATAGGCTTAGGGTTTAGGGTGTTTTGGGGTGCTTATAAATAGACAACTATGGTTCTTAGTCGGACGACACATTGTAAATCTCTGAATCAGTATAATAAAATCTCTCCGGTTCCTGCCCGTGGACGTAGGTTGACACACCGTCACCGAACCACGTAAAACCTCTGTGTTCTTTATTTGCTTTCTTTCTCGTTTTCTCATAACAAGTTTTAAATATATGAGAATCACATAATCAACAGTAAGGTGTGATATGTGTAGGTTACAATTTGTATTGCTAATATATGTAATGTTCATCTTTCAAATTAATATTAATATATATATATATATATATTCTATTAAATATTTTTATGATTATTTAAACTATTATAACAAGAACTTGTTCTACATACAAACCATCACATTGTATATAATGATCATCAACAATGAGTGGTGTGTATGTAACTTCGAAACAAGATGGAAAAAAAATGGATTAAAAATTAATTGCATTAACTAATCAAGAAACAAAATACTAAAGACTCATCATCAATGATGAACATGATCAAGAAACCACAGTTGGAGAATCCACCTCCATTTTCATGGAATGGAAATGAAAGGCCGCGATTGGATTCGATTTATTCATCACAATGTCGATCATCAGGTCTCTCATACTGCTATTATCCGATCGATGTTGTTGTTGTTGCGAAGAAGATGATGATGATGGTTCCAAGCCTGATTTATTTTCTTGTTTTGCAAATTGGTAACGAACTTTTGATGTTGCAACAACACTCACTCTGCTTGTAGGATCAAAATCAACCCATTCAAATGAACATTATAAAATTTACTTCCGCAGATTCTGTGCTAATCCGGCCAAGTCGGCATAGTGCTGATTTGATTGGATCAGCATATATTTACACATAGTAGAGGATATGTTGAGTTATAATATAAGGTATATTGTATTATAAATATGTTGAGATATATATAAATATATGTTACTCCCTCCGTCCCGTATTTATCTATCGGTTTGCTTTTTGCACAGAGATTTAGAAATATTAGTATTATATTGAAATGTAGTAGAAATAAATATAAAAAGACTAAACTAATCTTATTAATATTATATGATACAAAGGTAATAACATTTGTGTAAGATATTGTAAATTAGGAGTGTATTTGTAATGTTAGATAGTACAATTAAAAAAAAAATGGATACTTTGTTATTGGACGGACTAAAATGAAAAAAAAAATGAATAGATCGTTAAATAATAAAGGAGTATTATCTTTATAGCATATGTTGATCCGATCAAATTAACACCATGCTGACTTGACCGGATCAGCGGATCCATGTCTAAAACTTACTATATATATATAAATATATTTACAGAAACACACACATACTAATATCAGAAATGTATGGACACAGTGCAAGCTAACCTTGTCTGAAAATCGCAGGTGTATTGAAGAAGACGAGGACAGTACTCTGTGAGTCCACTGATCCCACAAAGATTTCATCAACTTTCTCAAAAAAAAAATAATAAAAAATAAAAAATAAAAAAGTAAAAGATCTTGTATTGTGTGGGTGTGTGATCTACCTGAGACTTGTGAGGGACAGTGAGATTGGTGGGGTGATGATAAACTTGCTTAGACAACTCAGGTGGGGTGCTTCTGCTGTAAAAATAAATAAATAAAATAATAAAAACAAATAAAAAAGATGAATGTATATATATATATATATATATATTAATTAATTACCAGGAGTTTGAATGGTAATAGTGTTGGAGGAACCATTGGTTTCTGTAATGTGTATGTCTTTGTAGCTTCTGCTTCCTATGCCATTCATGTTCAAAAGCCCTCCTGTTTTTCTTTCAATCTTCAACACATATACATACATATATAAATATATATATGTGTATACAAACAAGATTGTCTTACTATGTAATGATTAATTAATAATACTAATTATGTTGTAATTATCTCTCAAAATGGAAAAAAAAAAAAAAAAAAAAAAGGTTTTACCTTTGAGAAACTGGCCACTTCAGTGACAATCCCAAACTCCTGCAAGTCATACAAGAAGAAGATTCACTACCAAAAAAAAAAAAAAAAATAGTATATTTGTAATGGAATTCCGTTCCTAAAGTTCACGTAGCTAACGTAATTTCATCCATAATTCCGTCTCTAATATAATTAGTAACGAAAAAATTGGATTTAAGAACGAAAAAATCTTATTACAAAATTGATATTTTTTTGTAGTGATTAAATATATATATATATATACAGAGAGAGAGACAGATTATATACGGTAAATTATATAACACTCATTTCTATGTTTTAGTAAAAATACACAAAAAAAAATTATGTATTTTATTTATTGCGTAAATTCCCTTGTGTTAATGTAAAGTTTGCACAAAACATCGTTTTCGGCCGTAATTGATATTTGATTGTATATATGATTTCAATATTTCGTGCAAACTTTATATTAACACGAGAAGTTTTACACAATAAATGAAATACGAAATATTTTATGCATTTTTATTAAAATACAAATGATGTTTTTTAATTTACCAGATTATATGTATATAGATAGATTAAAGATTTTGAAAGATTTAAAAAATTGGTGTCTTATTGAATTTAAGTGAAATGTATGAAAATTTTTGTAACATATTCTAAGCACCTTAGCAAAATGGATATTCCAACTCTGATATTATATTAATTAATTATTTTATTTTAAAATTTAAATTTAAAAGAATGCATCGTTTATTTATTTATGTAAATAGAATCAACCAAGATGTTGAAGACCTCTTCATTGCCCCCAAAACTAATTATAGATTGGATTGGATTAGATTAGATTAGATTGATTTGAACTTGTTTCGTTCCGGTGAGATGATCCATTTGGTTAAAAATATAGTATTTTAGATAATATAAATGAATAAGTTATTAATAATAATTTATAATATTATTTTACTCAGTTCAAATACATTTTTTACTATTTTCTTTCGTTCCACCAAAGTATTTTCACTGATTAATAAAATATTGTTATTTTTTTAATATACTACAAAATTTCAAAGAACCTTTTTGGACCGGATGGAAGAAGTATTATTTTTTTTATACGAGTATTGTTATTGGTATTTTAAGTATTTTTAGCATTATATCAATAAATATATATTATGCAGTAGAGAATAAAATTTTATATAATACAAATAAATAAATAAGAATATATTTATTTATTTATAATTAATTTTATAAAAAGAAAATTAAATATAAATAAAAAATTAATTTATATTTATTAAGTATGTTTAATGTAAATAAATTTATTAAAAATAAAAATTGATTATCTTGAAAAAAAAAAATTATATAAATACTCCTAGTCATCTCATTGTGTACTTTTATGTTTAGACACATTTTAAGGTGAATAGGTAATTTTTTTGTTATTATTTATTTTTTATAATAAAAAAAATATATAAAAAAATAATACTCTCTCCGTCTCGGAACTATAGTCTTAGTTGTGTTTGGCACACATTTTTTTCTCTTGTGAGTGTATTAGTGTAAAAGGCAGTGACAATTATGTAATAATAATGAAAGAGTAAGGTTAATTATACAGTGATATTATTTATGGAAATAAGATTATTATTTTGAGACGGACAAAAATAGTAAATAAAACTATTGTATTGAGACGAAAAGAGTATAATTTATTGCTAAAAATATGAACTAGAATATATTTTGATACATTGAAAAAATAAAAAGAAAAAAATAACATAAAATCTAAATGTGAGATGGAATATTATGTTTAATTGATGCACATATTTAATTTCTTTGTCCTATTTTAACATCACCTGGTACAGAAGATTTGGGCATTTTATTTAGCCGGGATTTACCTAGTGCACATATCTGGGTAGCGACTGCGGATTCTCGTATCATCAAAATAAATAAACAAATAAATAAATACCTTCCTACTGGAGTTGCAAACTTCAGGGGTGCTCACAAGGGCCTTCCCTGTCCATCTGAATATATATAATTTTGATTTCAATTTTAATTTTAATTTTCAATTTCAAAATAAATAAACAATATTTCCTCCGTTCATTTTTTATTATCTTAAAATATATTTATACGGTTTTTTAGATGATTGTCTTTTTGTTATAAATTGACAAATTTGCCTTAAGTGTATGGTAGAGATTAAAAGTAATAAATGAACGAAGAGTAAAAATATAAAATTTGTATTTAAAAAATGAAATAGGACAATAATTGTTGGACATTCCAATTAGAAAAGTAGGATATTAGTTTGTGGACGGAGTGAGTAATAATAATAATAATAATTAGAAACTTACGCGAGGGAGGATCCACTGTGGCTCACAATTCCAGCAAGCATCACCAGCTGCAGAAGAAGAACCAATCATATAATATCAATTCCAATTAATTTATAAATAAAAATCAAATTAATTATCAGAAAATCATCAAGACATTGGTTAATGTATTCATGGAATGAAAGAAGTATAATTAGAAGCAAAAAGGTGGGTGGGTGGCTGGGTAGGTAGGTAGGTAGGGGTACCTCATCAAATGGGCCAAAAGGGCTGTCCTCATAAGTGGTAAGCATAAATCCCCCCATTGTGTATCTGTACGTACATCAAACAAACATTAAAAAGGTTGTCTTCTTAGCTTCAAATTAATTGACTTTAATTTGAGTTTTTATTTAAATAATATTTTGATACAATATTTTATAAAAAAATATATATTAAATATAATTAATTAGTGAAATAGTAATTATGTAGCCATACCCTAAAGTTTCAACAATTTTGAACTCTTTGGGGATGAAGGGGCGAATGACGTCAGCTTTCACAAGATGCATTTGGTACACCCCACTGCGAATATAATGCCATTATTAGAACTGTTAAACGAATCGACTCGTTCGTGAATTCGGTTTGGTTCGGTTCGGTTCGGTTAAAGTTTGTTCGCAACGTTAACGAATCGTATTAAACAATATAAACAGGCTCGTTTGGTTAACGAACGAGCCCGAGCTTTGTTCGCAGATGTTCATTTAAATAATATATTTATTATAAAGATTATATATACATATAAAATTAAAATTTATAAATAAATAAAATATTAATTTAAAATATATAAATAAAATAATTTTAGGTTTTCTTTATAATTTATATATAAATTTAAAAAAATAACACAAACGAGCTCGAACAAACTCGAACGATTTTAATCGAGCCTAAACGAGCCAAACACGAACACGAGCTCAAATAACAAAAAATTCTTAACAAGCCGAGCTCGAACACTACGAACGAGTTCGAAAGGTTAACGAACGAGCCTGAGCCTTGTTCCCGAACGTTAACGAACACTTAAAATTTAGCGCGGCTCGACTCGGATCGTTAACAGCTCTAGCTCTAGCCATTATCATCATCATATATATATATTGAGAGAGAGAGAGAGGCATATAGAGAGAGAAAGTTGCCTGCCTGCCATGGAAAATAGAAGGTGGTTTCTGCAACGATGCCATTGTTGTTGTTGGTGTTGGTGATATCATCTTCTTCTTCAACTTGGCTGCCTTCTTGCTTGATCTAATTTTGAGACTTAATTAACTTCACCCTAAACCCCTCGATCCCATATATGTATATATCATACAGATATGGTAAAATATCATTTGGACTGAACTTCGTCGGTCGGCATATTATAATAATAAACAATTACTCCCCTCCGTCCTAAAAAAATAAAAAATATTTAGTTAGTATTGATGCAAATTTTTTGTCCTCATCGTACTACATATCTAATATAATAAATATGCTTTTAATTTTCATTATATTACACAAATATCATTAATTTTATATTACATAATATTACTATAGGTATTTTCGTCTTTTTCGTTACAACTCATTATAATACGAATATTAAAAAATCTACGTGCAAAAAGTAAACGGTAACCTTGCACCGGGACGAAGGGAGTAAAAGAAAAATACTTACTCTGTCGTCCAATTGTGTGCTCATTTAACTGATCAAAGATTTTTTTTTAAAAAAAGGTAAAAATAGAATTTATTTTTTTTAATAAAGAAATAGTAGAAATTTTGAGTAAAAAATAAATAAATAAATAAATTTGGATGATTGTAATTAAAAAAAGTAAAAAAATATATATAATTTATTATTACTTTTTGTTTTTGGCTAAAAGGAGAAATAAACATATATTTTGTAACAAATAAAAAGGAAAAATGAACACAATTTTTTATTTTATTTTATTTTATGAAGATAGGAGTATTTGTCATGTATATTACTATAATGTGCTATTACATATTTTACAGGCTAAATTGCTGTATTTTTATGAAATTGCTTCAAATTTCATGTATTTTTAAAACTGTGTCAAATTTCTTCGTGGTTTATAAACTCTACGTCTAACCCCCTCGACGCTCCTTATTTAACGGTATTTGACCTAAATGCGTCCAAACTGTGAATAAATTTTAGAATCTCAATTTCTAAACCCCTAAAATTACAAATATATTTATTTTTCTTATATTTAGCCTCAAAAAATAGTATACTCAAAATTAGCTATTTTTCTCAGGTTTTAAGAGTTTATTTTTACTGGTTTTTAAGCTAAATATAAGAAAAATAAATATATTTGTAATTTTAGGGGTTTAGAAATTGAGATTTTAAAATTTATTTGCAGTTTGGGTGCATTTAGGTCAAATACCGTTAAACAAGGAGCGTCGAGGGAGTTAAAAGCAGAGTTTATGAAATCATGAGCGAATTTGACACAATTTTTAAGCATGTAGAATTTGACGCATGTGAAATCACATATAAATTTTGTGCAATTTAGCTTATATTATATTTATATGTTGAGTTGTGTTAATATTTTATATATTGCTTATTTATTTATTATGTAATGTATGCATATATGTGTATATATATATATATATATATAACACTATGTAATGTCAATATAATGCTGAATAATAGAGAGTATTATTTAGCACACTATGACAATCCCTGTATAAATTATATACATATATTAATAAAATAATTACCACGAGATATATTAATTAATTAATTAATTTTAATGTAGCAAGTAAGACCCGTTTGTAAAATAAAATTGAGATGCCTGACAGGTGAGCTGTTCTCATCAATTAATTAATTAATTAATTGATTGATCAATCAATTAGTTAATAAGGAAGCCTAATATCAGACTTAAGTCTTTTTCCAAACAGTTTTTTTTAGAGTTTTAGTTTGGAGAAGTCAAAAAGTTAATTTAGGTATTTAGCAAATTAAAATAATTTATTGATTTTAAAAAATTAATTTGAAAAATTATATAATCGAACAGTTTGAAAGAGCTTTTTTATTTTTATTTTTTTTTATTATTTATTTGTCCTTATGTTATTATTTATTTCATATACATATAAATATATGTTCTACTGCAGTAATTATAAATTATTTTTAATATATTATTTATTAAATTATAATTTTATTTTTACAAATTTAAATAAATTAATTTAATTTGTAAACTATAATTCTGTTTTTATTATTATTTTATTTTTATATTAAAATTAAATAAAATAGAATAAAATTATCAAAATTTATAAATATAATAAATTCATAAAATTAATCAATAATTAATATAATAAATATATATACAAAAAAATTTATTATTTTATATTTTATATTATTTTTAATAAAAAATTATTCATATTTTTAATAAAAATATATACTATTATTTTTCTCAATCTAAAATTAATTAAAAAATTAAATATTTTATAACACATTCGTAATTTCAAATAACTAATAATAAAAAATTTAAATTTTTTAAAACTTGAAAAAAAAAAACTAATTGAATAAACTATCAATCTGTCAAATGCACCCCTAATTTAATATTTCATCTGTCATTTAAAAACATTTGTATTTGATTTTTGTCTTTTATAATAATTTTTTTCTAAAATATAGTTGAAATGATAAATAGACAATAAAAAAATTATCGAAAAGAAATAAACATATTTTTTTTTATGACAAATAAATAAAAAATAAACAATATTTATTTTTATTATTATTGTTATTTTTTATTTTTTTATTTTTTTTTTTTTTAATGTACGAAATGAGTAGTACATATCAGAGGGTGCCTGCCCGGTTGGCCGCTTTATAATTACTATGTATGTTTGTATACAAAATTAAATTCAGGAGAAATAATATATTGTCGGTTGGGCACCCATGCCGACCCTAAATGGCAGACCCAGATAATTTTTATTTATTTTTTTAAATTTTCAAAATAATATAATTTATTTGTTTTCGAGTAATTTTATTATTCGAATTATCATATTTTAAAAATTTTACAAATTACAAATTACAACAATTATAATTTTGAATTACTTGAAATGGATAAATACTGCAGTTTTTTAAAATGAAAAAATCTTACTTGTATTTGTTTAGGGGATTTTCTCACCAAAAACATTGAATCAGATATATATATATTTTTTTATATTATACTAAAAATCAATTTTACATTTAAAACATCATATCAACACCTATTTATATCACATCATACAACTATTCAAATTCAAAATTTTTACTATTCAAATTTCAAACTCAAAATCCAAACCCCAAACAAACACAGCCATACATCTTTGGTTGGATTTTTTTAAGGTTGTTTTACTATTTCTTATTTTTAAAAAAACTTAACTCAAATTTTTATTTTTTAATTTTTACTATATTATATTAGAAATTAATTATAAATTTAAAATATCATATTAATATTTATTGATATTGTATAAAATAACTATTCAAATTTAAAATTTTTACTATTTATAACACAAATCCAGATTCAAACACCGTTTTAATAGTAAAATTTGAATTGAAATTATTGATTGATGTGATATAAATATACATTGATTTGATATTCTAAATATAAAAAATAATTTTAGTGTAATATAATAAATAAAAAATAAATGATTGATTTAATATTTTTTAAATAAAAAAAATTAAATAATAAAACCAAAAATCAAATCTCACCGGTAAAGGCAAGCCGGTTTGGCCCCTTACCCCGTCAAAATATCACTATAGTTACTCACCCTACTACACCATTCACTAGATATTTATATTATTCAATAAGACCATCCGCAATGGAGATACCCGTTTTTAGATATCTCCATTACTTTTTTCTATCAATGTTACTTTATCTCTCTGCCACGTCAGCGGAAATATTGTTTTCTATTTTATATTCACAACCAAGATACTCATCCTAATTTTTTAATAAATTTTTATTTTTATATTATATATATTATTTTTTAATTATAATTTTAATTTGTAGTATTAATTATTTATTTAATTAAATTTAGTTTTAATTGCTTTAAAATTTATAATTATATTTTATTTAATAAATTAAATTAATTTTACTAATATTAATTTGTTCAATAGAATTATATACTATTTGTATTTATATTTTTTAAATTTCAAATTGATAAAATATATTCAATATTTGTATCATTTTGTAGAATACAAAATATTATGAATTATAAAAATACTACAAAATTTAAATATAACAATAAATTCAATATAAATTAAAAAAAAATTATATATAATATATATTATATATATACATATATATATACACCTAAATGTCATATGTCCCAATTAAATTGCACCCTATTGCGGAGGCTCTAATAAGCTTATTTACATATTTTTTGGTTAATTTTTTATAAATATTATTAAAAAAATATAATATACATACATACTAATATAATATATATTTTATATACTCATAAAAGATTAATATTTTATTACCAAATATTATATTTTATATTATCAACGTAATTTTTTATATCTAATATTAAAAAAATATATTTATTAAAAATACAAAAACGAACAAACTCAATATATATTTAAATTAAATTTTACAAACAATGCTATCACCATTTTATAATCTAAACTTCTTAACCCCCAACACGTATGCAAATATACAATTGTTTAGTCAACTCTTTACATATTTTTTTTTATTGAATAACGTGAGAATCCGCATTTTATTGAATAACGTGAGAATCCGCAGCCGTTATCCGAAAGTGCGCTCTGAATAAATTTTCGGCTGAACCTAATCCGTATTTTATTGAATAACGTGAGAATCCGCAATCGTTATCCGAAAGTGTGCTCTGAATAAATCTTCGGCTGAACCTAATACCTTACAAACCAAGCTCAGTGGAAAAATCACACTGTTAGACTATCCTTTATCCTTTAAATAGAAGGGATTGGGTGTAAAATGTATGTATATATACTTTTATTTTAAAAAAAATAAATAAATAAAAAAGAAAAAAAATAGACAATAATAGCAAATATTAACATACACTGTTGACTATTTGATTTTTATATACAAATATATATTTTTTTCGACCTACTTAATTTTTCTATTATTCTTATTTTCGTTCATTCTATATAATTTATAATTTTTATTTTTGAAAATACAACTATACACTTTAATTATATTTTAAAATTCATAATTTATAATATTTTTACTCACTAATTACACAATATTTAAAATTTTGTACGTAATCTAAATGAGACAAATTAGTCGGGACGGACGAATTACTATAAATATTAGGGTAAACTGTTTTTTTAATCTCGTAACTGGACCCCCTTATCATTTTAGTGTTGTA